TTTAATTTAAATAAAACTTCCAGGCAAACTTAACAAGTTATTATTGCACTATGTTATTTCATTAATAACCATAAGTCATCAGTAAACCATAATTGTTAAAAAAAGACCAGGCTGGAAAACAATCACTAGCTTCAAAATACCAAGCAAAAGTTTATCGAAGTATCAAGCAGGCTTTCCCCAGAACGTCATAAAATATGACATTATGTCTATTAGATAATTAATTAGAATAAGTTTATTTCATAAAGTATGTTCTCAAAATTATTGAGAAAGTTCGGTTTTATAATTTAATGAAACGAATTTTTATCTCTACCCATTATTCATTTTTTAGTGATCTATAGTTATTAAAAAACTTTCATTTTCAATGTTGGTTCCGTAGACTTTACTAAACAGAAAAGCACAAAGACCCGACGCTGAAGATCACGAAATGCCAAAACGAGACCAAGACAAAGAAAACAGGCAGACCAAAAAGGGAAATCTCATCATTAAACATTATTCGATTATTTTGATTTTGACTTATCAAACATTTCAGTAATATTTTTCCTTTGAGACAAAATATGAATAATGTCAAAAATGACAAGCAAAAAGGCGAAATCTATATTTTAACTTCCCCCCTCAAATTATTTCCTTTCTTCAACAACTTCAGCATGAAATTTGATAATGATAGAGAAAAATTACAATTAATTAAGGTTTTTAGTTGCGATAAAAAAGTCAATGGCACGAGCGGAATTAGAACCCACGATATTCGGCTTGATACACCGCAACTCTACCACTTGAGCTATCGTGACTTCGATCCACTCGATTGAAAAATGGCAAAAAGGAGGGAAAAATTCAAAAGGTGGGGTTGAGATGGGAAGTTGGTGTCCGAGTGGATCGAGGTCACGATAGGTAGAGCAGCGGCGTATCAAGCCGAAGATCGTGGGTTCGAATCCCGCTCGTGCCATTGACTTTTTTATCTCAACTAAAAACCTTAATTAATTGTAATATATTAATTGGTCAAGCGGACCACGAAATTAGTGAATATAGAGAAAAATGTTCATTAATAAAATTATTTTTTTTACACAACGATAAACAATCTTAGTATGTGCAATGCGATAAGTTGTTATTATAAGGTCTGTACTTGTTTCAAACGACCAGAGAGCATGAGCTCGAGAGATATTAGTAACGCTATCTTGATGAAATTGGATTTTCAAGGCTATTCCATTCCTCCTCGACAACAACCATGCGAATAACATTATTGGTAAATTAGCGTAGCATTATCGCAATACATTCAACTGTCATTGAACCTTCAAACTCCTTTATAAACGACCCTTAGACAAAAACAAAATTACAAACAGCAACGTACCAAGCATAAGAAAACAAGATTTTTTCGACAAAACACTAAGCACAAGAGATATGGTCTTGATTAATAAGCACTTTTCCCAGGATTCTTCCTTCCATTTTTGTGAATAATTAATTAATTTAATACAAAATTAATGAACAAAACGTAGAGAATGTTTCAAAAATACAAATTACTATATTATTCATTTTGGTCTTTAATTGATTATTTATTAGCATTATTATTTATCTAATTACTTTATTATGCTATGTTAAATTATTAGGGAAATGATAATTTTTGAAAACGACGAGAATGCAAAAAAATTCAGAAAATATATCCTATCCTCAAAATTATTGAGAAAAGACACTAATTAGGTTCATTATAAATTTGAACTTTATCTAATTTATCAAAACCCATTATTCATTATCTTTTTTTTTACCTTTTAGGTTTATTATTGCAGTATGTTATTTTATTAGTAGGCCATAATTGTTAAAAACAACCATACAGGGGAAAAAATTACTGTCATCAAAATACCAAGAACAAGTTGATCAAAGATTCATGCAAGCTTTCCCCCAGACTCTAATATTACTTCTAAAAAATATAAAATGTGTAATAATGTTATATAGAAAAATTGAAAAAGACCGAATTTTTTATGAATTGGTTCAGTTTAAATAATATGAGCGTTGTACACTCGTTATGTGTATAAGATAATTAATGAGAATAACTTTATTTAGGAAAGTATGTTTTCAAAATTATTGAAAAAAGGTTCACTGTTATTTTTATTTGTTTTATTTAAGGGAGGTTAGAAAATTAGCTACATATGTGTTTCAATAAAAGTAAACATAGTACCATATTAATTAATCTATATTTGAGGTATTGGTTGTAAAAAGTCAGTGTCACAAGCGGGATTCGAACCCCACGACCATCGGCTAAATACGCCGCAGCTCTAACCAAATGAGCTATCGTGACTTCGATCCGCTCGGACACTAACTTCCCATTTCAACCTCACCACAATAAATTAAATAAAGTATTTAATTATCTAGCTATTATCTAGCCAGGTCGTGGGTTCGAATCCCGCTTGTGACACTGTCTTTTTTTATCTTAACTAAAAACCTTAATTAATTAAAAGATATCAAGCGGACCACGAAAACAAGTGAATTTAGCCGATGGTCGCGGGTTCGAATCCCGCTTGTGACAGACTTTTTTATCTCAACTAAAAACCTTAATTAATTAAAAGATATAAATTGATCAAGCGGACCACGAAAACTAGTGAATTTAATAAGTTAAAAGAAGTATACCTTCACTAAAGCTCTCCGTGGCCATTTCATTTGTCGCCGAGAATCAAATAGATTACACATTTGAAAAATGGCAAAAACGAGGGAAAATTCACAAGGTGAGGTTGAGCTTCCCATCTCAAGGATCGAAGTCGTGATAGCTCAAGTGGTGGAGCAACGGCGTATTTAGCCGAAGGTCGCGGGTTCGAATCCCGCTTGTGACAGACTTTTTTATCTCAACCAATACCTTAAATACAGATTAATTAATTGAAAGATATTATTTGGCCAAGCGGACTACGAAAACTAGTGAATTTAATAATACTATACATATTGGTATATAGTTTGGTAATCGATAAAAGAAAGATATCACATTTTTAGTTATGAAAGCTTACTTTTAATTACATTTTTTAATTTATTAAAACTTTCGTGGAACTAATCAAAATATAATTTGTTACATTCTGACATGAATCTATTACAAGGATTATGTTTCATACAGTTTATAGAAACCAGATTTGGACAAAATGTGTTCACACTTGTAAAATTCCTAGGATTATTATCATCTATTACAATTTAGTTGATCGTATTTTTATCTTAACACATTATTCATCATTATTCTTAATTTATTATATATTTTAAAGTTTATTGTTGCAATACGTTATTTTATTAGTGAGTATAATCGTTGGAAACAACCATACAGGAAAAAAATTACAGTCATCAAAATATCAAGCATATGTTGATCAAAGTGTGCTGGTTTTTTTCCCCAAAATATCATAAACAATAGGATTATGTCTACAAGATTATTAATGATAACAACTTTACTCAATTAATTATACACAATTTTTTTCGAAATGAAAAATTTGTGTCACAGGCGGGATTCGAACCCACGACTTTCGGCTCAATACGCCGCTGCTCTACCACTTGAGCTACTGTGACTTCGATCGCCCATGGCACAAACATCTCACTTCGACTACCCGATTTTATTCTAATTATAAGCAAATCGCGGCTTCATATAGAAACACTTTTTATTAACGATTATACTAGATTAGCGGGACTGNAACCTGATGATGGGCGTCTAATGCTTGAAATCCGAATCGAATACCAAGCACAACTAGATAAAAGTATCAAGCAGGTTTTCTCCCAGAACGTCACGAACTATGGGATTGTGTTTACAAGATAATTAATGATAATAAAGAATAAGTTTATTTCAGAAAGTATGTTCTCAAAAATATTCAGAAAGGTTCATTAGCTAATCCAATTTTTATCTCAATCCGTTATTCATTATTATCTTATTCAGTATCACCCCAAAAAAAGTATTGTCATCAAAATACCAAGCACAACTTGATAAAAGTATCAAGCAGGTTTTCCCCCAGAACGTCATGAACAGTGGTATTATGTCTACAAGATAATTAATGATAATAAAGAATTTCTTTATTTCAGAAAGTATGTTCTCAAAAATATTCAGAAAGGTTCATTAGCTAATCCAATTTTTAACTCCACCCATTATTCATTATTATCGTTATTTAGTATTTATCCCATAGGTTTATTATTGCAGTAAGTTATTTTATTGCTGGTATATAATTTTTCAAACCGGCCAGGTTGGAAAAAAAAACTGTCAATATTATCACACTAAAAAAAAGTATTGTCATCAAAATACCAAGCACAACTTGATAAAAGTATCAAGCAGGTTTTCCCCCAGAACGTCATGAACAGTGGGATTATGTCTACAAGATAATTAATGATAATAAAGAATTTCTTTATTTCAGAAAGTATGTTCTCAAAAATATTCAGAAAGGTTCATTAGCTAATCCAATTTTTATCTCAATCCATTATTCATTATTATCTTATTCAGTATCACCCCAAAAAAAGTATTGTCATCAAAATACCAAGCACAACTTGATAAAAGTATCAAGCAGGTTTTCCCCCAGAACGTCACGAACTATGGGATCGTGTATACAGAATATAAGATGTATAATAATATTATATAGAAAAATTAAAAAAGGCCGTATTTTTTATGAATTCTTTCAATTTAAATAGAGTACACTGGTTGAAAGTATATCGTATTTCTTGCAGAAAGGCGGATTTTTGTTCCATTGGAAATATTTTATTTGCCGATCGGTTAAAATTTGAATTAATTTAATTTGACGATGTCCTTTTTAAATTATTGAATAAATCTCACCCCAAAATTAAATAAAATCAATTCCGTCACGTTCTATCAATTTGGTTGAGGGCAATGACACAACTTCTTAATTCTCCCCAATAAAAGGTCACTTTTGGTAGAACCGAAAAAGAAATAAATGTTTTTTTTTTGTTTTTTTAACTTATACAAAATAAAATATGATAAAAACGGCACAACAAATGACCTTGAAATAAATACATTTTGGTTGTTATTTTTTCTAAGCAGAGGTACTCACTTGTTGTTGTTGAACATTAGGTTTTTCTCCATTTTTCCACAAGAAAAAAATAATCAAAAAATACAAAAAAGGAAATAAGACGTCAAGTCGAATGAAACAGTGACAAAATGAAGATTATAAATAAATAAACATAATTGAAGGCGGCCTTGTTTTCCGACGAGGAGCGGAAATGGGACTGACGGCTCAGCCTAATCGTGGTCCCGTTTTCAGATTAATCAAACGAACTTTGATCCGACTGACAAATTAACAATCGTAATCTTTAAAAAGGGGGAAAATGGCAGAGTCAAATCTCCACGGGTTATCAGCACATTCCGTCAACACTTTCTAGTTTCCACAACAACTGGCCTCGTCGTCGTCAGAGAGGGCGAGCTGCTTCAGCTAGAGCACCGCTCTACAAATCTACAATTCAAACTGGCAATATGCGTTCTAGTCGTGCGGCTCATTGTTGTTGTTATTGCAGTTGTTGTTCTAACCTGTACAAGTTGTTATATCAACTAGTACGTTTCCGTTCATCCTCGTCTGACTGCTTTGTGGTTGTTGTTTTCAAATGTGTTTTCGGTGTGGTTGTGTCTGTGTGTGTTGTTTTAAATTATTTATACATTTTACATGTTTCCATACTTGTGATTACATATATTTCCTCTACATTTTATTATTTTTGTTTCACTTATTCAATTACATTTTTCTTTACACCATATATCATCAAGATGCTACAATTATAGTACATTTTCATCTGTATTATTAATGAATTGGGTTTTATAATTTAAGAATTGAAGTTCTAGTAGTTGATCTTTTCTGAGTGGCCAAGATTCCTCCATTTTGAGAATGACTAATTTTGTTAGGATGCTTGTTGCCTATCTTGTTGTTGTCGTTGTTGTTGTTGGTAGTGGTGGTGGTGATGTGTGTGTATGTGTTTTAATATATTTATACATTTATATCCATACTTGAAGTAACATTATTTCCTCTAAATTTTATTATTTTTGTTTCACTTATTCAATAACATTTTTATTTTGATGCTACAATTATAGTAAAAAGTAATTAATTAATTAGGTTGTATATTTTAAGAATTGAGATTCCGGTAGTTGATCTTGTTTTAGAGGCCAAGATCCGTCCATTTGGATGACTTCTTTTATAAGGAAAAAATAGTATGATTCCATTCCGGAATCTCTGCTCCGCAAGGTCAATTAGGTTGTTCTAAGATGTCAAACCGATAGAAGTATTCACGGTGTCTCTCCGCTTATGATCGTCAACCTTATTGGTGTAAACAGTCTTTCTTTTACTGTTTGCAAATATTCTCTTGTTTGATGACCTTTGGCTGAACCTTTCCATATATTTTTTCAATTTTCATATGTCTTTTCAGCGTGTATTGGTGGTGTTGTTGTCGATGGTATGTGTGTGTGTGTGTGTGCATGCGCGTGTGTGCATGTGCTCTCCCACTCTCTCACTCACTCTCTCTCTTTTTTTTCTCTGTCTTTCTCTCACTCTAGATCCCTCTCTTGTTACTTCTTTTTATCCCCATGCAAGATACTTTTTTCTTTCATTATTTCTTATTTGTACAAATTTTCTTAGGTCTTTCACGAACTCATTCATTCTCTTCCTCTTTCTCGCTCTCTCGTTTCACTTCTTTTCTTCTCTACCTCTTCCTTTTTATTGTATTTCTTCCATTTCACTGTTCAATCTCTCTNTCTCTCTCTCTCTCTATTCTTTTCCATATATACACTAATCATCAAGATGCTACAATTATAGTACATTTTCATCTGAATTATTAATAAATTGAGTGGTATATATTAAGAATTGAGGTTCTAGTAGTTGATTTTTTCAGAATGGCCAAGATCCATCCATTTGGATGACTTCTATTATTAGGAAAAAATAATGTGATTCCAGTCTGGAATCTCTGCTCCGCAAGGAAAATTAGGTTGTCAAACAATTTCAAAGCAATAGAAGTATTCGCGGAGTCTCTCTGCTTATCATCATCAACCTTATTGGTGTCAACAATCTAAACAGTCTTTCTTTTACTGTTTGGAAATATTCTCTTGTTTGATGACCCTTGACTGAACTTTTCCATTTATTTTTCCAGTTTTCAAATGTCTTTTCGGTGTGTTTGTATGTGGTGTTGTTGTTGGTGGGGTGTGGAAATTCCAGTCCTGAACTTCTATTCCACAAGGACCATTAGGTTGTTCTTTAACATTAGAGGTATTCACCGGGTCTCCCCTAGCCACTTAGCATCATTGTCAGCTTATTGTACAACCTTATTGGAGTAAAGTCTTTCTTTCATTGTTTGGAATTCACTAGTTTCGTGGTCCGCTTGACCAATTAATATATTTCAATTAATTAAGGTTTTTTAGTTGAGATAGAAAAGTCACTGTCACGAGCGGGATTCGAACCCACAACCCTCGGTTAGATACGTTGCTACTCTACCACTTGAGCTAGAGTGGATCGAAGTCACGATAGCTCAAGTGGTAGAGTAGTGGCATATATAGCCAAGGGTCGTGGGTTCGAATCCCACTCATGACACTGACTTTTTTATCTCAACTAAAAAACCTTAATTGATTGTTTGGAATATTATTTGGAGGTCATGCGATGCAGTCTGGTATGATGTAGGTTTTAGAAAAACATTTTCTTTATCGTGCCAACGCTTTGATCTTTATTGAGATCACCTTCAGGGCTCAAAGTGTTTGTTTTCCATGTAGATGATGACCCTTGACTGAAGTTTCTTTTAATTTTCCCAATTTTCAAATGCCTTTTTTTTATAAATAACAGATATTTTTATTTACAAATATGTACATTTTAGTCGACTTTTTGTCTAGAGACACTTACCTCCATCTGAACTAAATTATTATAATTACATGACATTAATTTTCTATTAACAGAAAAAATTAGGTTAAACCTATTAACCTCATGCATGAGGTTTGATGATCGATGATGCATTTTTATTTCATGATGTATTTATATATAGATCTCTATATTATCTACGTTGCTGATTAATCTCAACTTATCAATCTCGTCTGTAAAGGCAGATAGTGCTCGCCAAGACCCAGATGTTTCTGAAATGGTGATTATAATTCAAATTGAGCGAAAAATGAATCAATCCATCGACCAAAAGTGATTTGAGTATTTTCTGATTCTTACCTGGCATCTGGGTTACCGTGATCACTATGGCAGTTCCCTCAGAGCGAAGCCTTCCCATTGGGCTTCGGCTTGGCTGACCTCTGCATATATCCCAAATGCGGATATCTTGGGTGTGTAATTTTTGATAAAGTTTCACGACACATATGTGCAAATATTTGCCTCGCCAATAGACGACAGAAGCAGATTAGCTTAAACTGACCTGTAAAGTACTGTTCTTTTATTAATTTCTTCAGCTTTTGGAGGCATTTTTTCTTCAATCTGTCATGCAGTACAAAAGCTGATAAAATTTTATAGCTCTTTTAAATATAAATAATTAAATACTTTTTAAGTTCGAATCTAATCTTACAAAATAATTTATAGTAGACAATGTCCAAATCAGAAAATTTTTGACAAACTTAGTTAGGATTTCTTCCAAATTATATAAACAGGGCAATGCCCAAATTTCAACCACATAGACTGATTTTATTAATGCCACAAATAATCTTTAGTGACCCAGGAATCAGAACTGTCCATTTTTTTCTTAAAGTTGTTATGTCAAATATATTTCAGGACTCACATGTCAGGTGTGTGACATCCTTCCAGGCTGGCAAAGTTATCGCTGTAGTGTGCATCCTGAAATATATTTTTATGTATTTAGTATAGACATTTAGTTTTTAACAAATCTGACCACTGATTATTTAGAAGTAACTAGGATTCTTCTTACATTGGCAGATTCCAAATTCGCTTTTGACATAAAGTGAACACAAGCAAGACAAAACTTTCCAGAGGTGGCAAAAGGGATTTCCTGGCTCCAAAACAAACGAAGGAACCGGATCAGGTGTTTTCTGCACAAGCCCAAAACATGAGCAATCAAACTCATTAGGGAAGTACACTTCAGTCTTTCAAGCAGAAAACATGCCGTCAATGCTTGTGCCCTGGAAAATCTTAATAGAGGTCACACTGGCAAACAAATCATCATAAGATCTGAAAGCCAAGCAGCTATTACAGCATTATCATGTAAAAAAAAAGACATCAAAATTAGTCAGTGAATGCATCCAAAATCTCAAAAACCTGGAAGTACACAACCTGATGATATCTTGGGTGTCAGGGCACAGGGGAATTTTGGGTAACGAGAAAGCAGATAGACTGGCCAGAGGAGGATCTACAAGACCATACCATACCCGAACCTATTATTGGGATAACAAAAACAAATATAGAATCATCCATCGCAGAATGGATACAAATAAAACAAAAGGAGAAGTGGATAAACTTTAGCAGCACTAGACACAGTAAACGTATGATGAAACAACCCTCACCAAGACTGGCAAAATCATTGCTGCAGTCAGGACTATTAACCGATCACTGGCATCTGAGAAAACACAAATGGGCATATACAACGAAGACCCAATTTGCAGATTATGTAATGAGGAGAAGGAAACAGCCAACCATATCATCTTCGAATGCGAAGCAACACCTCAATGGAGATTTAACCTAACGTATGGAAAAAAACTTAGGGAATCAAATTGCAGCAGCAACAGTCAATGACCTGATATTTCTAAGGAGAAGGATTGAGCCTAATGCACTGAACTTATGAACTAGGAAGGTAGAATAAGCCAGAAGGCTGCAGTGCCTGGGGAGTGCAGACCCCGCTTCCTAATATCCTTCTGCACCATACCATACCAAAAGGGATTTCCAGATAAACATAAGATTTTACTTTGTTGATGAAAAAGAAATCGACCGCGACGATTAGTGTGTTTGGGATCTGGTTTCTGGTCAGGTAGAGAAAGAATTAGGCACTGTGATCACTTGCCAAGCTTTCGGCCTTTATAAGACCATCATCAGGTCAGCATCCTGTTTCTCATATTAACATTACAGAATGACAACAAAAAAACCCGATGACATCAGCTACGAGGTTGGTTAAGTTAAATTAAGACAAGTTTTTTCAGTTTTTCCAGTGACAGTGTACTCTCCAAAATACAGGTCCAGTCGATGATGATAAGATTTTACATATTCTATAGCTCAGGGCTTTCTTTAATCATTGAACACAGGAAAACACTCCACATCTTCCTTTTTTTCTTTTGAAGGCTCATCACATTCATTTTAATGAAAATATCTGATAAATACGCATACATTGCCATTTCTAATCATTGAAAATATTGGCCAATTTGACATCTTCAACAGAGACTTCAGAATGTAATTCCTAAATCGTGAAAGTGCTTTCTCACGAGACAGCCACCTCACTTATGTATGGTAAATCAGGGAATGATGAAGGCTTCCTTTATCTTCATCATATTGGGTTGTCCGGAAAATAATGCAGGATTTTAAGTTTTCATTAAAAAAAATCTATATAAAATATTCTGTTTACGTTTACAGGATTACTCATTNTTGATTAAAGAACATTGCTTTAAAGTAACTAGTTTCTTTTTTTTTGTTTAATACCAAAATCCTGCATTATTTTCCGGACAACCCAATAGTATTGTGAAAAGTCTTGATTTTTGCTGCAACTTGATATTAATAATTTGAATTGACTTCCAAGATTGTTTTAAAAGAGGCTGGTATTTATTTCATAGATAAAGCATGGCTGTGGAGAACACAATGACCGCTGTAAAAAAAATTGTTTTCATTAGTCATTGTTATTAGTTTTTAATTTTATTTATTATTCTCGGTTTATTTCTAATTATTAATTTTTCTCGAATTTCACCGCGGACCCCCTAGGCAGGGTCTGCGACCACAGTTTGGGACGCCTTTCTATAGCTGTACTGTTAAAGGGTTTTAAACCTCTGCTCTTCATCGCGACCACCAGGAATGAGGAAATGAAGGAATTGCCCACTTATAAGAGCATGATCAATCGTGTCCAGTTTCGTTGATTATTTTTTGGATATCTTTATATTAATTTTTATTTTTGCTTAAATAGAGATGATTAGATAAGATCTGAAACCAAGGGATAAGATTTTGATTTGAATTAATTAAATTTGAGGCAATTATCAAACAATTCTTTTCACAAAAAACTCAATTTACTTCAATTGAGTAATTTTTTGTATTTTGTACTGATAAAATTTATAAGATCAAATAAAAAGTATTGAGGATAAAACAATTCAGGTGGGTCAAAAGGATGCCCAGTTAACAATTAAGTAAAAATTAATTAAAATATCTAAATTAATGTGTTAATAATATTCACACTCTTTGCCTAAGCTACACATTGTTATAAAATATATTCTTGGTATAATTTATTTTCTCATAACTTGTAACACAAAAAACAATTTTTATAACGAAGGCATTTCAACTACAAGGTTGTATGAACCCTTGGTATGCTTTTTTTTTTTTTTTTTTTTGACCGACACCTCATTTTTAAAAAAAATTCAACACTACCAATAGCAAAAGAAGTAGACCTTCAGAATTGGAATTCATAGATTTGTTGGTAAAAGATAATTGCCTAAAAGATAGAAGAAATTCATAACCTTTTCGACCAATATTTGTTAAACTACCAAAAAAAAATTTTAATAAATATTTTTAATTTATTTACCACGCAGTGGAGACACAAAAACAAATTTATTTAATTAATTGTACTTTTTATCTAGTGTCAAGGTGAAACTAGCTTTTTCATCTCAACCAAGACCTTAGATTAAAAGTATAAGTAATTAAAATAATTAATACAGTCAATTATGACTACTAAATAAATATAGTAGTTCTTGATGTAATTTATTTTCTCATAACTTTTAACACAAAAATAATTTTTTTTTTTAATGAGGGCATTTCAACAAGGTTGTATGAACCCTTGGTATGCCGGTTTTTTTGTTTTTCTAATGTCTTTCTGAGGAATTCATAGATTTGTTAGTAAAAGATAATTGCCTGATAGAAGAAATTCATAACCTTTTAGACCAATATTTGTTAAACTAAAAAAAAATTTTTTTTTAAACATTTTTAATTTTTCTACCACACAGTGGAGGCACACACAAAAACTAAAAAAGATTTAATTTAATTAATTGTACTAGCTTTTTCATCTCGACCAAGACCTTAGATTAAAAGTATAAGTAATTAAAATAATTAATACGGTCAATTATGACTACTAAATATATAGTTCTTGATGTAATTTATTTTCTCATAACTGTTAACACAAAAAACAATTTTTTTTTTTTTAACGAGGGCATTTCAACTACAAGGTTGTTAGGGATGGGTTCGAGTCGATGAACTTATACTGGGCTGCTTACTTATTGGGTACTTCAGTTGCAGGTTTGTTGAACTACTCAAGCACATTGCAGGATTGCACTCTCATCAAAGATGTACCGAACAGACACACTGAAGATGGCGAAATGCTGAACTCGAGCAGTTCGACCAACCCATGAGTAAAGGACCGAATAAGTGACCTGGTCAGCAAATACATCTCATCTGCAGTTGCTCTCATTGAGTTTTTTTATCTTTTTTAGGCTCCCTAATAATTTTTTTCTATTTGTTTCATTTTATGCATATGTGCACCATACAAGTTGATGTATGTACATATTGTTACTGTTGCTGTACATTATATTTTTCTTATACAGATTAACGAGTCTAATGTATTTTAAGCTCATGTTTTTTAGTTTTACCCATATTTTGTCTGCCTGTACTCGAGTTGGTCGTCAGATTTTCAACATTTCACCACCTTCAGTGTGTCTATTTTATAAGTTCGTGACAAGTGGAATGTTATCTTTGTGCCTTGAGCAAATGGAGTCTTTTTTTCTCCTATTTTATTGTGATAGGAGAGCTGCTGTTTTTTTGTATTTTTGTGGGTTTTTTCTCCATTGAAGTTTGAATGCAAACTTAAAACAAGAAACATACTGAAAACAGCCAGCAAGGATGAGTGGGCCAAAATGATTGGTAATGATCTGGTTTGTTAACCCGCAGACATGTAGAAATCCCACAATGTAACAACAAACTTTTTTCAATTAATTATTTATGAAAGATTGAAAAATGGCAAAAAGGAGGGAAAATTCAAAAGGTGCGGTTGAGATGGGAAGTTGGTGTCCGAGTAGATCGAGGTCACGATAGTTCAAGTGGTAAGCAGCGGCGTATCAAGCCGAAGGTCGTGGGTTTGAATCCCGCTCATGCCATTGACTTTTTTATCTCAACTAAAAACCTTAAGTAATTGTAATTTATGAAAGGTATTGGCTGAGATAAAAACGCCAATGTCACGAGCGAGATTCAAACCCATGACCTTCGGCTAAATACGCCGCTACTCTACCCACTTGAACTCGATCTGCTCGGACACCAACTTCCCATCTCAACCTCACCTCTCGAATTTCTATGCTTTTTGCCATTTTTCAAAATGTTGTGTAATCTATTTGATTCTCGGTGACAAATGAAATGGCCACGGAGTTTTCGTGAAGATATACTTCAGTTTTTAATTATTAAATCCATTACAGTCGTGGTCCGATTGACCAATTAACATTTTTCAAATAATTAATATTTATAAAAGGTATTGGCCGAGAAAAAAAAAGTCAGCGCCACAATCTTCTTGATGTTTTCACCACATGTGACAATTATCATAAAAAGATGTCAGGAAAGTAATATTAAAGTCAAAACTGTTAAAATTCCATGTATTTTACACCAAACTTATAAAATAAGAAACCAAAGTATCTGTTTATTTTTCAAGTATAAGAAAGAAAAGAAAAAAAGGCCTGATATATGGAATTACATGGAATAACAATTTTTTTGAGTGTAGCGTCTACTTCAACTTCTTCTTGGGGCGGATGTTGTTGGTATGGCCGCACTTTTTCTTTCTACAGTTTGTCGCCCTCGGGTGGAGACGAGCGTAGCACTTGCGGCAAATCATTTTGTCGCAATTGTATTTCTGAGCCAAGATCCTAAGCGTCGGCTCGATGACACCACCCCTGAGGCGAAGCACTAAATGTAGCGTGGATTCTGAAAACAACAAATAAGATGAGAACCGAAATTAATTTCATCTTTACAACGCCTACAATTAGTACAGAAAAATACGTAAGTCTAATTATTTTATTATTAAGATTCACAGACAAAAACTATGAATCTACTAACAAGAGTAAGGCACTATTTCACATCCTCAGTACCTCAATTGTGGATAGATGAAAAGGATTAGCGCTGACCATCTTGGTTGTAAATTTCAAGCAAAGTTCAAAGCAACTAGGGCAACTTTGTCAAATGAATAGTTTTCTAAAAATACCTTAGCTAGTCTTTACTGTAGAGGTTTAAAAAATTATTATACTCTTTGGAAGTACAAGAAACACTTCAACATGCGTCTTTAAATTTTTATCAGGTCAAAGTTCCAACAAATTTTTGATAAATAGCGCTACGTCTCAGAAAAACCATTCATTTTATCTCGAATTTTAACGCTAGCAAGTCGGTTATTTTTCCTTTAAAGATAACATTGTTGACTGTGGATTGAAGAAAAACAGGAACATTGGTTGCTAACTCTGTAAGTATAATTTTGCTTCTTTATAAACCTTGTATTTTTTTGTATAAATATGTCAATATGTAGTGTCACAATTAAATAGGAATTTTTTTGGAAATTACCAAACAAAAATCTTTGAATCCTCTTCAGAAACAACAATATTACAGAAACATTAATTAATACCACTTAAGATAAAACCATTAAACACAATTACTCCAAGTATTTGTTAATATTCATAAAAATCGTTTAAAAAACAGTGTTTCAGAAAGACCAATCGATTTGTTCATCAACAAATTTAAGAAGATTAAATATAATTCATCATTAACACTGAAGTAGGCTTATATAAACAGAACACAATAAAATTTCCTCTTAACATATGCGAGGATGATGAATATGCAAGTTGGTAATTTCCCCCGATCGTTTTGGTCTGCCTATCCTTGCTTTTTTAAATAAAACTAGCAACACATAAGACACCAGAATCACCATGTTTACCCCATTGCAAATCTAACATTTCTAGCTAAGTCATTAAGATTAAGAGAGAAAAAAAAGACAAAAGTTATTAAAAGTCAAGTTTGATGGTTTTACGTATTACAGTGCTTCAGAAAGACCAATCGATTTGTTCATCAACAATTTTATGAAAGATTTACTATTCATCATTAACACTGTAATTATTTCTAATATACAAAAATGAAAAATACATAACAAAAAATTTAGTTATGTCTAAACATAAAAAAAACGTATAAGTCTAAATTTTCGTCGAGTACAGTCAAAGAGAGAACCGGACACTCAATAACTTTATTAAAAACAATTAAATTTAACTAATAATTTATTACATGGTCATGCTCATAAAATTTAAATAACATTTATTACATGGTTGTGCTCAAAAAATTTAGCTAACAATTTATTAAACGGTTCTGCTCATAAAATTTACCTAACAATTTATTACACGGTTGTGCTCATAAAATTTAACTAACAATTACACGGTTGTGCTTTTAAAATTTAACTAACAATTACATGGTTGTGCTCATAAAATTTAACTAACAATTTATTAACACGGTTGGGCGCATAAAATTTAACTAATAATTACACGGTTGTGCGCATAAAATTTAACTAACAATTACACGGTTGTGCTCATAAAATTTAACTAATAATTACCCGGATGTGCTCATAAAATTTAACTAACAATTTAGTAACACGGTTGTGCTCATAAAATTTAACTAACAATTTATCAAAAAAAAAAAAAAAAAAAATCATTTGCATTGTAAACTTTTCAGGGTTCGTAGCTTAATGTAAGGGTGAAATTTGATTCTTCCAGTCAGTTGTTTAATCAAAGATTCTATTTAACACAGGACAATATTTTTTTTTAATTAATTGTCTGTCTTAAACCAATCAAGCTTGAAAGTTGAAATAATAAAACGAGGAACGCACCCAACGCAATGAAACCCGATGTAATCCCAATGTCCGATTCGTCATAAGTTTGTTTTACTCCTGTGCACGTGTGCCGGATACCACACGACGCCACCCTACTCTATGCTGTGCGATGCAACCACGTTCCCTGCGTCCAAATTTTCGTCGAGTACATTCGAAGACAGAAGTGGACAATCAATAAATTTATTTAAAACAATTAAATTCAAATAATAATTTATTACACGGTTGTGCTCATAAAACTTAACTATTCATTACACGGTTGTGCTCATAAAATTTAACTAAATTTTATTACACGATTGTGCTCATAAAATTTAGCCAACAATTTATTACACGGTTGTGCTCATTAAATTTAACTAACAATTTTATTACACGATTGTGCTCATAAAATTTAACCAACAATTTATTAAACGGTTGTGCTCATTAAATTTAGCCAACAATTTTATTACACGGTTGTGCTCATAAAATTTAACTAACAATTTTATTACACGGTTGTGCTCATAAAATTTAACTAACAATTTATTACATAGTTTTGCTCATAGTAATGCATTAACAGCAAAAGAGGCGTTGCGATTGTGATACTGATTTGTATTACTTTTTATTGATTCTTTTATATTGAAAATGATTTTCACAAAATATTTGATGTTAACAGGAGTGAAGAAGATAAGATAATAAAATGAAAATTCCATTGATGTTAAACATGTACATGTTAATAACAGTGTTTCAGAAAGACCAATCGATTTGTTCATCAACAAATTTAAGAAGATTAAATATAATTCATCATTAACACTGAAGTAAGCTTATATAAACAGAACATAACAAATAATTCTGAAATTTCCTCTTAACATATGCAAGGATGATGAATATGAATTGCTTGGTAATTTCCCCCCGATCGTTTTGGTCTGCCTATCCTTGCTTTTTTAAATATAACTTAGCAATCAACACATAAGACACCTGAATCACCATGTTTACCCCATTGCAAATTTAAAATTTCTAGCAAAATCATTAAGATTAAGAGAAAAAAAAAGACAAAAGTTATTAAAAGCCAAGCTTGATGGTTTTACGTATTACAGTGCTTCAGAAAGACCAATCGATTTGTTCATCAACAATTTTATGAAAGATTTACTATTCATCATTAACACTGCAATTATTTCTAATATACAAAAAATGAAAAATACATAACAAAAAATTTAATTATAACTGTTTATATAGAAACCAAGTCCTCCTGACTACCTTTCATCGTTATAACACATTTCTAGGGACAGAAGGACAAGATAAAAATGATAAAAAATTAAATTGCTTAAAATGTAAAAATATTCCTTAGTATTTTTGTGTTTTAAAACCAAATCAGGGATAATTTTGAAGAAAAAACAAACAAAAAATCATTTGCATTATAAACTTTTCAGGGTTCGTAGCTTAATGTAAGGGTCGAAATTTGATTCTTCCAGTCAGTCGTTTAATCAAGATTCTATTTAATACAGGACAATATTTTTTTAAAATTATTAATTGTCTGTCTTAAACCAATCAAGCTTGAAAGTTGAAACAATAAAACGAGGAACACACCCAACACAATGCAACCCGATGTAATCCCAATGTCCGATTCGTCATAAGTTTGTTTTACCACCGTGCAAGTTTGCCGGATACCACACGACGCCACCCTACTCTATGCTGTGCGTTCCCTACTGTCCAAATTTTCGTCAAGTAAATTCGAAGACAGAACTGGACAATACTTTATTTAAAACAATTAAATTTAACTAATAATTTAATACACGGTTGTGCTCATAAATTTAACTAACAATTACACGGTTGTGCTCATAAAATTTAACTATTTATCACACGGTTGTGCTCATAAAATTTAACTAACAATTATAGGGTTGTGCTCATAAAATTTAACTAACAATTAATTAGATGGTTGCGCTCATAAAATTTAACTATCAATTTATTACACGGTTCTGCTCATAAGTTTATCTAACAATTTATTACGTGGTTGTGCTAATAAAATTTAGCTAACAATTTATTACATAGTTGTGCTCATAAAATTTAACTAACAATTTATTACATGGTTTTGCTCATAGTAGTGCATTAACCGCAAAAGAGGCGTTGCAATTTTGATACTGATTTGTGTACACTATGTGATTGTATGTGGTGTGTGCTTGATGTCAAACAGATGTGCACACCCTACTAAAATGAGAAAAGGCGTCAGGTGTGTGTCCCTCGCTTTAAGTTAAGATCTTGCCAAATGAAGCCACTTAACAGATGGAGTTCTGGATGGACCAATTTTTCAGATTTTTTTTCCAGCCCTTCATTTTCCATGAATCGTATTTTTTACTTTATGAGCCAAAACATATTTTTATTTTAATAGTTTACAATAAGTTGATTCACTTATGTTCTTGAATGCATAATCTTTGAATTCAATTTAGATCGATCAAATACTTTTTATTGATTCTTTTATATTGAAAATGATTTTCGCAAAATATTTGATGTTAACAGGAGTGAAGAAGATAAGATAATAAAATGAAAATTCCATTGATGTTAGACATGTACATGTTAATAACAGTGCTTCAGAAAGACCAATCGATTTGTTCATCAACATATTTATGAAGATTATCTATTCATCATTAACACTGAATTTTCATAGGAAAAGAACAGCATCATAACTATAGAAGACAAGCTATATTAGTGTTTACTGAAGATCGGTTACTATTTATAGTTTTTGTTTATCTCCTTGTATGTCAGTTCGTAGAGAAAAGGAAGACTGGATGTTTTTAAAAATGATAAATGTGTAGGTTAATCACCTTGAAGACCTCACCGAAGAGTTTCAGAAAGATAGTTTTTGCACAAATATAACAGAAAAAATACCTTTCTGGATGTTGTAGTCCGAAAGAGTCCTGCCGTCTTCGAGCTGCTTCCCGGCGAAAATCAACCTCTGTTGGTCCGGTGGGATACCCTCCTTATCTTGGATCTTGGCTTTGACATTTTCAATTGTGTCAGACTGCTCGACCTCAAGGGTGATTGTCTTGCCCGTTAGGGTCTTCACAAAAATCTGCATCTTCCTGGAACACTAAAGACAAAATGTGTTAGACTTCAAAAGAAAAAAGATGTAGTGTTTCCCAATGCTTTATAGTACTAAAAATTTTTTTAGGATTCAGTATTTCGCCAGTACTACTAGAATAATTATGAGAAATGAAATTCACTAATTTCGTGGTCCGCTTGACCAACTAATATATTACAATTAATTAAGGTTTTTAGTTGAGATAAAAAAGTCAATGGCACGAGCGGGATTCGAACCCACGATTTTCGGCTAGATACGCTGCTGCTCTACCACTTGAGCTATCGTGACCTCGATCCACTCGGACACCAACTTCCCATCTGGTTGGTGTCCGAGTGGATCGAGGTCACGATAGCTCAAGTGGTAGAGCAGCAGCGTATCTAGCCGAAAATCGTGGGTTCGAATCCCGTTCGTGCCATTGACTTTTTTCTCAACTAAAAACCTTAATTAATTGTATTATGAGAAATGTTTTCAGCGTCAAATTTCAGGCTTTTTTCTAATAAGAAAAATGTGCGTTAACATAAAGTTTATTCCACGAAGAAAAACAATATGTACAGACATAGATATGCACCTATTCAAATAGAAACAAATGAGAAAAAATTATGTAAAAAAGTTCATTTAAGATTAAATTTAAAAAAAGGAGGGCAAACACGGATGAGTGAAAAGTTTAAAGCTGGGTTTCCACTGTGCAAAAACCACTCCTGTAACTGGTTTCACGACATCGCGTTGTCGATACCTAGCCAGGACCGTGAAACTTTTGGCGCGGGGATGTTTTGGGGTGAACCGACTAGATGTTCGTTTTTTAGCAAGCATCAAAGTGTTTCACACTGTTTGTTTCTCTCCACGTAAACGCACTTGTCTCAAGAATCCAAACATATCACAGCTACCGATTTTTGCAGGAATTCTCGGCCAAAGTGGGAGAAAGTTTCTCAAGAAATCAACATTAGCAATAAGCCATATTTGGTTAGTGGTCATAATTAACCATATTAATTATTATAGTAATTCTTTTTATCTAAGGTTTTTGGTTAAGACGAAAACCCAGTGTGACGAGCGGGATTCGAACCTACGATCTTCGGCTCAATACGCTGCTGCTCTATTTGGGCTATTGTTCAACCCCTTCGGACACCAACTCATCTCAACCTACAGTTCGAATTTTCCCTCTTTTTGCCATTGACTACTTAACATATGGATTAATATGCATTTTTTAAGGGCGTAGCGATAAGTTTGAAACTCTCCCTTCTCGTCTCTTGTAAAAAATAAATGGTTAACATGCCGTTTTCCCACCACCTATTGTGAATAGATTAATCGATGGACTTTCAAGAAAATAAAACTCATTTGCTCACTTATGTACAATACTTATGCAAAAGCATAAGCTTCAATAGCTCAAGAATTTTAAAGTGTAGTGGCCCCTGGGAGTCTGAAACATATTAAGATAAAACGCACAATGTAACCATCTATTTCCGAGGATTTCGGACTTAATCATCAGAACACAATTTCATCAAAATTCGCATCCATCGTAACCGTAGCCTTACACCTAATGGCCTTACCAAATGGGAAAAATGAGGCAAGATTGTTAACTGTTAGAAAGTGGGGTGCTACTACACATTAAAATTCTTGAGGTATTTAAGCTTATGCTTTTGCATAATTATAATAAAACAATTTGGTATTTGTTCTAGTGCAGAAATCATATAATAACAGTAATTATTGAATTTTTTAAGCTTAATTTTGCTCATGTTAGATGATGGTGTAAAGGCGAGACTATAAAAAGCCTAGATGTATGGAAAATCAGTATAATCATTGTTTTTTTTTAAAGCTAATGAAAATCAATCGACTAATGACTTTTACTCAATTTAATTAGGATCATTTGAATGTTTTATTGGATGGTTAGATTGTTTTAGGTTAAAACATTAAAAAACCCTGAAATATCGTCCATTTCAGTAGATCTGAGATACTCCTTCTACAGAAAATGTATAAATAAATATTCCCGAAGATTATTTAATTAAAAGGTTAAAATAAGAAGGAAAATATAAATTGCAAACCTTATAATGTAGTGAATCGAATACACGTGTTGGAAGTCTGGCAAGCCGGAAGGAACAAGATTGCCCCTCGAAGGCCCGAATCGGGTAGGAGCGCTACAGTAGATCTCGCGTAGTCACACACACGCTACCAAACGAGCAACTCGACAACTTTTAAATTTTCATAATTTCATCTGTTTTCGTTTTAAATTCGTGTCGAAACTATGCGTCGGATTAAATTGACCGAGTATCGTTTTTGTCCGAGGTCTTAACCAAATGACCGACACGTCCGGAGGAGCGGAGAAGAACAAAATCGATATTGTCTTGGTAAATAAATTCTCTTCTCTTGAGGTTCATTTTTATGTTTATGTAATCATGCTCTCATTTTTATAAACACACTGTTTCTACAAATTGTAACAAATTCAATGTTAGTGACAAAGCATCGAAAAAATTTTAAACAAAAATTTTCATGTTTAACAAATCCTTAAATATATCCCATTTTCATCATTCAGTCTGTTGACAACATTTAATAATTTTATCACTTCAATAAACTTTTAATCAGCTTTACAAGCCTTAATTTTAATCTTTAGGCCATTTAAAGAGATCTAAATTATATAATCTGTTTGCAGTAGAGAAACAGCTGGATGTCATCAATAAATGTGTCACAGCAAGTTTTTAACCTTTTCTTCTTTTTTTAAAACTAATTAAAACAATTTTAATTTATATAAAGTCTCGAGGTAATAGTAATTTAAAAAAAAAAGTAAAATCAATACAATATGAAAAGCTTGGTGTAACTTTGTGTCAAAGAAAGTTTCTCCACTTTGAAATTGGAAAGTATTCAAGGTCAAATTATCCCATTTAAGCTCCAAAATCATTCAGTCTCATTGGCAAATGGTACTGCTTTGTGTTTTGCGGTCTATGAGATGAACCACATGGTTTTAAGATCTCGGATCATCCCAATCTGCCTACCCATACTGATCCCCACTGGCTTTACCACGTCTACAGAGAATTCACCTATTTTAACTTCAAAATCATTGAGCATGATTTTTTAAATAGTACTGTTTGCTTTGTGAGGTGATGATCCGGTGATGGTGATGAGGTTTTGCCCCCCAGGCACTGCAGCGTTCTGGCTTACACCTTCCTAGTTCAGAACAGTCAATTCAATTCTTCTCAGAAGTATTGCAATTTCATGCCCTAGGTTTTCTCTGTACACTAAGTTAAAACTACATTGAGCTGTTGTTTCACATTCGAAGATGATACGGGTGGCTTTTTCCTCTCCTCATTGCTTAATCTGCAAATGGGATCATCGTATATATGCCCACGATGTAGGTGTAGATGTAATATTTCAGGGTATGGTATACAGAGCCCTTTGGAAGCTATTGTATCCCCCGTTCTCTGCTTAAAGCACATCGGTGAGTCCTGTTTCATCAAGAAACTTGATTTCAATGGTTGAAGCTCTTCTATGGTCACATTGTACATCCCAAAACATTTCCTCCTGCGGGCTAATGTAGCTACGCAGTTTGTTAGTAAGTGTGTTGGTGTCTCTTAAAATTGGTTAGAAGATACTTGGATTGTCTATGTCCAATAAGTGAATTCCAAAGTTCCCTCATTTTCTTTTTGTCCTTCTGTCTGAGATATTCGTTAATAGTGGGGGTTCCTATGCCAAAGAAGGGTTCAGGTCTTATCAGCGGTGTAGCAACCCTTTTCTTACAAGGGTGTCCGCTTTCTCGATGCCTTCTACTCCCGTGTGTCCTGGGACCCAGCAGAGGCTGACTTTATTCTGCATACCTAATATATTTAGTTTGGTTTTGCAGTTCAGCACCTTGAACTAATGATATTTGAGCTTAGTGCTTTGATGGCTTCTTGGCTCTCTGACATGATAGCTATATTCTTGTTTTTGTATCCTTTACTTAGATTGAATTGGATACATCTTTCAAGGAGTGGTTAGGAAAGCGAGTACCTCACTTGGGGATAGGACACCAGAGCCCCTTTAACCTTTTCGCACCGTACCATGCCATGGGGCTCAATGTGAATCCCCCGTCAGGACGGCGATGAACGTTTCCCGGGGTTCACTACTTGGAAGCGGGGTTGGTCTTTGAACCCCAGTGATGCCCATGCTGTGCAGATGTTTTCTCAGTTGCCAGTGACTGGTTAATAGTCTTATCCTCTGAGTCTAGCCCTCTCCGACTGCAGCAATGATTTTGCCAGTCTTGGTGAGGGTTGTTTTAACATAAGTTAACTATGTCTAGCGCCACTAGTCTCCACTTCTCCTTTCGTTTCATTCAGATCCATTCTGCGATAGAGGATTCTGTATTTTGTAATCCCAAGTGTAGGTTCGGGGCCTTTTTTTGGTCTTGCAGATCCTTCTCCGGCCAGCGTGTTTGCTTTTTTGTTACCCAGCACTCCTCTGGTTATTGGTAATCAGGTTGTTTCCCCAGGTTTTGGAGATTTTCGATGCATTCACTGACTAATTTTGGTGAGATTTTTTTACATGCTCTTATATGCTTCTACATCATCTTACATGCTTTACTAGCTGCTTGGCTATCCGATCTTATGAGGATTTTATTGCCAGTGTAACTTCTTTTAATATTTTCTATGATAAGCGTTGATGTGCTTGAAAGGCCGAAGTGTACTTCCCTAATGAGTTTGATTGCTCATATCTTGGGCTTGTATAAAAGATCTGGTTTCTTTGTTTGTTTTGGAGTCATCTGCATACCATACCATTGTATCTGATCTCCTGACTTCATCCTCTCCTTTATAGTCTAAGATTTTATAGGATGTAAAGAATGTTTCTGGGATGATGTCCCATTAGTTTAATTGATTCTGATCTTCTTGGTATGTCTATCGGCACTGGTTTTATTTGATAGAAAAGATAAATAAAATAATACATCAACCAATGCATATGCTGAAAGGCATCAGACAGACCAAAATAGTGGCGATAGGCAGGCCAAATTAATCTGATTTATTGCAATAATAATAATTTGTATTTAATATTTTTCATAGAAAAAGTCTTGTTAGCATTTAAACTTTTTTTTTGGGGGGGGGGGTTACAATGGCATATTAATTTTACTGTCAAGTGGGATCGTGGGCACGGTCCCCCGATGAAACCCCCCCTGCCAGGGCAGGAGAGGAGGAAGACCCAACCCAACCCGTATGGTTTTTCGCTTTCGCCTGTTTGTTCAGTATCCTCTTTGGAGGACATGGATAAAAACCAATAACATCGAGATAATTTTGGAAAAGTCCACGTCCTCGAGGAAACTGGGGCTAACTCGCCATCTCCCCCCTGTCCACCCCAATGGGATCAGCCGACCAGAACCAGGTCCCCGCCACGCGCCCGCACCCACTCACTCAGCTCAATCATCTTCTAAATTTTAATGGTTGAAGATAATCAAAAAGTAACATTTATCGACTTTAGAAATCTATAGATTATGTGAATGCTGCTGGATTGTTGCTTATTAGAACAGATTGTAAGTTTATTGGTTTGGGACTTTGCTCAGATTTTTTAGCAGTTTCTCTTTCATTTTCGTATTCTGGGCATTCGAAAATTATGTGGGAAGGATTTGAAGGCCAATCGCAAGTGGGACAGTTCGGAGACGATGCCAAACCTCTTCTTGAAGCTACCCCATAGGCCATGATTTGTTTTCAGTCTAAAAATAGTAGAATAGAACTCCTTTGACATTCATTCTGTGCTATTGCCTTCCGAAAACCATGGTTTTTTCTTGAGTTCAGGGAACAGTGACCTGTAATAATTGCCGACATTTGATGTGTTGTATTTTTCTTGCCACAGATTTCTACAAAACTTTTTCAAAAAGTTTTTCCCGTTCTTTAGGAATTTTAATGTCAAGGATTGGACCTGATGTTGCAGCCTCCTTTGCAAGTGCGTCCACCGTTTCATTTTACCATAAGCCTGCATGCCCTTTCACCCAACACAATTGTGCACAGTATTTAAACATAATTGTAAACGTATTCAAGGTAAGATTCTCCCATATAAACTACAGAATAATTGTCCTATGAGTACTACCTGATTTGTATTTGAAGTCTATTAGTTGATAACCCGATATTTTTAGGGTCTCTGGTCGTCCTAGTCTGCCTATCCTCAATGGTTTTTTTGTATAAATTGAATTGTATTGTATAAAATTGGAAATGATGTCAAATGAAAACCATTTTTTTATGTAAGATCTTGGTTGAGATGAAAAAATTTGTGTCATGAGCGACTTTGAACCCATGACTGCTCTAACCACTACTGTGACTTCGATCCACTCAGACACCAACTCATCATTTCGAATTTCCCCACTTTTTGCCATTTTTCAAATATATTTAATATATTCAAATGTGTATAAAAAGTCTCATTTATATTAAAAATTATTCAGTCTCATTTCCTTTGTATTTTGTTGAAGTCTACAAGGTTAAAACCCGATAGTTTTATCTTTTCTTATCATCCTTGTCAGCCTATCCTCATTATTTGTGTATTAAAAATAAATAACGTGTCGAACACTGCTGATAAGCATCGGAAGAATTCTCCTGTCAGCATTTAATGAAATCATGCTGAATCAGCATTGGGTTACTACTCGGTGTAATTGTTCAAGAAACTCAAAAAGTGAAGACGTCCCTATAAGTGCTCGTCCTGGCCTGCCTATCCTCGATGATCGCGTGATTTTTAGCGACACGGTAATTGTGCTTCATTTCTTTCTTTACAAAGTCTTGCTGGCGTTTAAGTAAATTAGAGAAATATTCAAGTATTGAGAAATTATTAATTATATTATTAAAATTCTTCCATTTAACCTACAGAATCATTGTCAAATTGTTGAGGTCTATGAGGCGATGAAAGCTCTAGTTTTAGGGTCTCTGATCGACCTGGTCTGCCTATTTTCACCGATGATGTGATTTTTAGTGACATGCTAAAAGTCATAATAATTTGTGCTTTCTTTATAAAGTCTTGTATAATAATTGGACTGCAGACTCTGGAGGCATATGTGTAGACTCAGAGTGGCAGAAACAAGCCTACATTGTGGTGCAAAGGTTGGTTCCTAATCCTGGGAGAAAGCTTTTGGATCTGGCAAAAAGCCTCATGCTTAACAAGCAAGGAGCTCTAGATAAAACAAAATGGAGATGCACAATAGAATACTGGTCGCAGCGCACAGGTCCATAAAGAGGCCGTTTCATACATAATCTAATCTATAATCTAAATTCGTAAACGTTTAAACAAAATAATGGAGAAATATTCAAGTATTGAGTCATTCTCCAATAGTACTATCTGATTTGTATTTGTTTGACCTCTGTTTGGTGATAACTCTCTGGTTTTAAGTTGGTTTTTGTAAAATAATAAATAAAATAAAAACAGATAACCACTGAAGGCATTGACAAAAGAAAAGCACAAAACACACCGTGAAAAACGGCAGGCTGAAATATTTCGATTTATTGGCTTAAAAATTGATAATTCTTCCTTAAACAGTCTTGTTAGGATCTGAACAAATTGTCATCGGGCCATTTGAAGGCCGAAGGAAAAAGCTTGAGGGGGAACCGTGATGATTGAGTGGTTAGGAAGTCGCATTCGCCATGGTAGGTGTTTCTGGTTTGAATCCTGTCAGTGCCCATGTCTTTTTAATTAATAATGGTATAAAATATGTATTGTAAAGTGGTTTGACCCATCGTCTGCATCACCCAAGTAGTTGGACGTTCTTTCGTATGATTTTACATACTAGAAGCTTGACTGTATAAAACCAACTAATAAATTGTAATATACACAATTCCAGTTATCTCTAAATATGTATTTTATTGTAAAACCGTTCCCGTTGTTCCATCTTCCTTTTGATAACGACTTCAATTAATCTATCACGGTATATAAGAAAAATTGTAACAAGCAGTAAGTCAAAATTGTCTGTTTCATATAAGCCCTCCATTTCTGTACGTAATTTTCTAATAAAAAAGTTCTTCCTATTTTCATGTAGTTCTACTTCTAGCCCAGAGTCTCCACCCCATAATCCTGAGGTTGTTGCGTTGTTAACAAATTGTTTAACAAAGTCATCAAATTTGATCGTTACGTTTTTGACTGTTTATCCTGAACTGAAGATGACCAAAATGATCGGTAAAGATGAAATTTCACATCCGTCACCGTGTAAATTTCACAAAATCAGTCAGGTACTTGGATATATGGTCTATAAGGAAACCAAAAGTTTGAGTCTGCACCTTCTGACCACCATTAACTAAACAAGAATAAGTATAATGAGAGTTGAATAATGTCAGCGTCGTAATATAATAAATGAACGTACTTATTAGCTCGTTAGATTGTCGATATTGAAATATTAAGTATTCATTGCAACCAATTATTTCAAATTTCCCAGTTATAGATAGCAAAGTCTATTGATGGGCAGGAGTAAAAATTATAATTAACAAACAAATATTAACTACATAAATTCACTAATTTCGTGGTCCGCTTGACCAATTAATACTTTACAATTAATTAAGGTTTTTAGTTGAGATGAAAAAAAGTTAATGGCACGAGAGGGATTCGAAGATCGAGGGTGAAGCTCTCCATCGCCATTTCAATTGTCGTCGAGAATCCAAACCGATTACACGACATTTGAAAAATGGCAAAAGGAGGGAAAACTCATAAGGTGGGGTTGTGATGGGGAGTTGATGTTCGAGTGGATCAAGGTCACGATAGCTCAGGTGATAGAGCAGCGGCGTATCTAGCCGAAAGTCGTGGGTTCGAATCCTTCTCGTGCCATTAACTTTTTTTCATCTCAACTAAAAATGTTAATTAATTGTAAATTAACTACATAAGACATTTTTTGTGATTATTTGTGTACTTTATCTAGGCTAAATTTAAATCATGTAGCAAATATCAATTTATTTTTTTCTTCCACAGCTATAGGGTCACTGGTGTTGCAAGATACCTCGAATGAATTCCAACATGATGAGAGTTGTAGCGATAAGACCTCCTACCTACCTCTTACCCATATCCTTATTGCTATTTTTCACGTGCACATTATCCAACAGGTATGCTGTAAATTATTGTAATGTTTTTTTTTTCTCTTCTAATGATTTTTTTCTGTTTTATTAAGGCATTTGATTCCTACAGTCCATGCGACGGATTGGGATGTTTTAATTTTTACTCAGAACTGGCCAGTTTCGGTTTGTCTGTCTTGGGAAATTAAAGGCAAGAATCACACTTGCCTGCCGACACAAAGCAACAGTTTTTGGACAATACACGGCATTTGGTATTTAAAAGAATTTTAAAAATTATAAGAAACAATTTTTTGACTTTTTTTTTTAGGCCGACAAAATTTGGTACTATTGGCCCTACGTTCTGCAACACTTCGAATCATTTCAACCCGCAGGGCATATACGGTATTGAAAAAGAGCTTGAGAATGTCTGGGCACCGATTGAAAAGCATAAAAATAAGTACGCCTTTTGGAAACACGAATGGGAAAAGCACGGAACTTGCGCGGCTAAACTCGAAGAATTTAGCACAGAATTCGACTATTTCAGAAAAGTACTCGACTGTTTTTAAAAGTTACCGTATAATAATAAAGTTTATCGTATTTTAGGGAATACAGTGGCACAAAGAATACGACATGGTGAAGATTTTAGACAAAGCAGGAGTAATACCAGGAAAATCACAAAACATTACAGAAGTATGGAACAGTGTAAAACAAGTCTTGGGTAAAAACCCATTTTTATCTTGCTTCACACATCCAGTAAGTAAACACATTAGTAAAACGTCAGATAATTTATCAACTTTGCATTTTTATTATTTATTTAATCTTTTTTTTTTTACTCAGTCAACAAAAACTGCATACCTACTTGAAGTGAGAATTTGTTTTGACAAAAACTTGACACTTGTCAATTGTGACGGTATAAAGAAGAGATGCGGCAAGAAGTGTGGAGAAAACAACTTAATCGAATGTCCAACTACAAAGCTAGTGGAGTTCCCCCTTGCTTATCCGTATCCCCCGCCGGCGTTTGCCAACCAGAAGAGGCATTACCTATTCGACATACTCAGATTCCTTCAGCTTGTAAGCTGGATGACTTCATAAAAGTCGAAATATCCAATAAGTCCAAAGCCGAATATTCTAATTGATTTTTTTTTTTTTTTTAATTTACCATTTTATCCCGTGAAATATAAATGGGAAAAGTATTCTTAAAATAATTAGAGCAATATTTTGAAACGATTTGATTTATAATTTTGTATTTGAAATTTTCAACTTGTGAGTAGAGTTAAAAAACTGAACTTGACGCTTATCACATTGACTTGTAAAATTATATTTTTGATGTAAAGTGTACAAGTTCTGAATTCATAATGTTCTTATTTGCAACCATTCTGTTTGGCATGAATTTACTTTTTTTTAAATTATTTATTTATTTTTAAATAAATAGCACTTGTACAGTGATTTTTTTTTCTTTGTAGAGGCAACATCTAATACAATAACATTCTTAAAGTTTTCTGTCATTCTTTACTAATAACCTTATAAATTTTACCATTAATAAAGGTTTTCAGTTGAGATAAAAAAGTCAATGGCACGAGCGGGATTCGAACCCACGATCTTCGGCTTGATACGCCACTGCTCTACCACTTGAGCTGTCGTGACCTCGATCCACTCGGACACCAACTTCTCATCTCAACCACACCTTTTGAATTTAACCTCCTTTTTGCCATTTTTCAAATGTCGTGTAATCAATTTGATTCTCGGCGACAAATGAAATGACCACGGAGAGCTTTAGTGAAATATACTTCATTTTAAACTTATTAAATTCACTAGTTTCGTGGTCCGCTTGACCAATTAATATCTTACAATTAATTAAGGTTTTCAGTTGAGATAAAAAAGTCAATGGCACGAGCGGGATTCGAACCCACAATCTTCAGCTTGAGACACTGCTGCTCTACCCTTGAGCTATCATGACCTCGATCCACTCGGAACTAGTGTACTTATAAATTTTGTGGATCCATGAAAATAACATGAAAATACATTGAGCTGGTTTCTTCATTCATGCAACATTGATTATATTAATAATTTTTAAATAGTTAAAAAAAAAGGAAATAGACAACTTAAAGGGCAATATATTACGAAAAGAAACATTTCAATGACGATCCTTCAGTGTGAACTTTAAAGGCTTGCTCGGCAACGATAATATCTTACTCTCGTAAGACATTTCACCGTAATTATACTCGATTTCAAAATTTTTCACCATCTGAAACAGAAGAGTTGAAATTAATATTCGATATGTTCAGCCGATTTTTAAACGGCGTCTCGGTCTCACATGTGCAATAAGAACCGCGATTTGTCTGTACGCGAGTTCTTTTATAATCGGATGCTGCCTGTGACAGAACGGCATTACTTCGAGAGGATCTAATTGTTTTGAAAATCGCCCGATCCAACGCCTCGGCTCGAATTTCTTCGCATCGGCAAAGTGTTCATTTTTATGGAAGGCTATCTGGTGCGCCATTATCACATTCGTCTACAATATCAATTTTTTTTTTCATTCACTACTTTCGTGGTCTGCTTGACCAATTAATACATGACAATTAATTAAGGCTTTTAGTTGAGATGAAAAAAAGTCAATGGCACGAGCGGGATTCGAACCCACGATCTTCGGCTAGATACGCCGCTGCTCTACCACGAGCTATCTTGACCTCCATCGTCGTGACTAGCGAAGCAGTGGCGTATCTAGCCGAAGATCGTGGGTTCGAATCCCGCTCATGCCATTGACTTTAATTAATTGTCTTTTTTTTTCTTTGATCAATCGTTTATAAAATTAAATCTTACATTTTTCGGTATTGTGTAGCCATTAACAACAATTTCTTTGCTCGTACAGCGAACTGTGTGTGTAAAAGGAGGCCAGAGTCTTGAAAAAAAATTTAAAAATTAACATTTAAATATATAATTTTTTAATTTCAAATATTACCTCATGGTTTCTACGATACACGCCCTCAGAAGCGGCAGGTGTATCATATCTTCTGAAAATAGTTCATTAAGATCATGTGGAATAACTAAATTTATTTCCCAAAATAGTCTATCCTGGACATCTGGTGACTTAGATAAATAATATAAAACCATGCCGGCTATATTTGCTATCTACAAAAATAAAATTACCTTTCAGTATGAAATATTTCTTTTAAAAATGTTCAATTTTAATACCGAATTGACTCCAACAACAAGCAAATCCATCAGAGTGGTTATTATACAATCCGTACTCATTTTATCCTTGAGTATCATCGTTTCCAAGAGAGCGACAGGCTGCGGCGTTTCGTTTTTGACATTTTTTGAAAGTTTTCCCAATTTCAGATAAGTCATCCTTAAATTCCTGATGAGTAATCTAGAAAATATAATTTATTAGTTTTTTGTTTTTTTCCAGCGGCTATGCCTCAGCCTCACGTTTCCAGAACATCGAAGCATTGGGCCAACTTTGATGTTGATGTCGTCGGCAAGAACCGCCAGATTTGCGGAGCACTCTCGCAATCAGAAAGCGCCTTGCTGACTTCGATGAGCGTGTGTACTATTTTCGTATAACCGTCTTGCTTATATTCAGCATCCCTCCCAAAAACAATTGCTGAAAAACCTTTAAAAAAATGTAAAATTACTTAAGTACTATAGAATAAACTTAATACTTACATTTTAAGCTCCATAAGCAAAGTTCTCCATTGTAGTTGGCAGGAACTTCACAGCGATGATCCCTGATTAAATAATTACTGGAAACAGAATAATTATGTTTAATTTAAATAATTAGTTTTTTTTTTCTAAATAAAATACCGCTTCACGAAATCAACTGCCATTTGGTTGCAAAGGTACTGATAATCATTGACCCTATGATTCAAATGGTTTTTAAATTTTTCTGCCACTTGGCTGAAATCAATTTCATACCTGGAAGGAGAAAAACGATTAAAATTTATTTTTTTCCAGTTAAACGTAACGACTCACTGTGGCATAGTAATGCTTATTCTAGTCCGTCTATAATTTTCCATGCTGTCAATGATGGACCGGAGGGAATGAGTGCCATCGTATTTCTGTACAGCCAAAATATGTTTGGGTTTGCACAGCATAACTACCGAGCTCTTGGACGGAGTATTTATTCGAACCAAGGGTCCATAAAAATCGAAAAATATTCTAAATGGGTATATCCAACTTAGAAGTTTTTCATCATTCTGGCCCTTTATTGCTATTTGAAAAAAATAAATAAGATTAAACAAATGTAACCTATTAAATACATTTATGTATAAAAACATACTTGATAAAATAGAAAATAATTTAATGAACTTTTACCGTATAAGCATTTTGAAAATAGATGACAAAGCTCAAGCCATAAATGACCGCCGATGGCAGGAATTTGGCTGAAAGGGACAGCGCACACACCGCTTTTGTCGACACGCTGTGTTTCGTCAATCAGGGGGTCAAGCAGGGTCGGTTTGGCCTTCGGGAAGATCTGCTCGTGCTGCTGCATGACCGTGAACGGAAGGTGTTCGCTGGCGAAGAACAGATCGTCCGTGCCCAGCCTTTCGTCCAACTCCGCCTCTTCCTCGACATTGCTGGCTAGAACCTTCGATGTCGGTTGTTCTTCGCTTGTCGTAGGCGAGGTGGTTGCTGTGTACGTTGTCTTCCTCTTAATTAAGGAAAACAATCGCTGGATTAATCTGTAGAAAAATCATTATATTTTTTTTTTTTTTTAGAAAAAAAAACAGAAAAAATAAGGAAAATAAATCTAGATTGAAAATATAACCTTCTTAAATAAAATTAAGATTTTTTTTAAAGAAATTGTAGAGTATGAAATACAAGAGATCTCTTCATAAAACTACAAATCCTTGTAAGTACTTAAGTTATGGAAAAATGCTACATACTTTATTCTCAACATTCATGAACGCTCATGTAGAAAATAAACTTAGAATGCACTCAAATCTACAATATAAACCTCACTAGAAAATAAATATTGCAGAAAACATATGATTAATTATTTTTGATTTTTTTTTACAATTTTACACTGTATTCTTACACAATTAAAACTAAATAAAAAAATACTAGACATTTCTATCATTCAACAGGAAATTTATGCACTATAATTCATTAAAATTATAATTAGTCACAATGAATTATTACAAATTTAAAAAAGAAAATAAATAATAATTTATTTATTTAGACAACCATTTTTTCTTTTCTTCATGAAGTACTTCCACAATTCCACTATCAAATTATTTGTTTAATTATATCTAAAATCACACAATAAAACTCACGAGAGTAACAAGCAAATCATTACATAAACTTGAACACATTTTTGGCCTGAATTAAGTAATTATTAATGAATTAAGACTTTATTTTTTATGTTAAGAATATAATAAAGTAATTCCTTTCACCAAGGGTGTTGTGTATTTACCACATTTTGTACTATTATAAATTAAAAAGTCATGGGATATCACGACCCTCTCCAAACTTGTAGTACAATGACAATCATTTTGTTTAAATCTGACGAGACTGTTGAAATATCAATTTTTAATCCAATATTTTGGCCTGCCTTTCCTCATTGTTTTTGTCTATCAGATGCTTTTCATTTCACTTGTTATTTATTATTTTTATAAAATAACACAATCAGGGAGGACAGGCAGACTGGGGTGATTGAAGGCGAAGAAACTGCATAGTGATCATCTTGTAGACCTTGACAATATACAAAGCAGATATTCGACAATGATTACGCATTTTAAATGGGAAAATTTTACCTTCAATACTTTCTCAATTGTTTAAATGCTTTGTCTAAGGACAAATTGAAGTATATGGCTCCCGTTTGGGTCTGCGATACCCTTTGATATTTTTATTTATTTGTCCTACTGTGCAATTATTGCATGCTTGTCTCCCTGGTTTGTGAGGAATGTCACGTTGCTCCAGTTTGTGATGTGACACCCTTTGACCAACTGCTTAACTATTGCACAGTTATGTTTTCTAGATTTATGGGAGGCATTACGTGACTCTCATCTGGATTTGTGTTCATACCCTTTGACAGTCTTATTTATCTATCCAACTGTGTAATTATTGCAGGGCTGTTTGCCTGGTTTGTGAGGAATGTCACATCACTCCAGTTTGTGCTGCGAGACCCTTCGACCAACTGCTCAATGCAGTTGTTTCCCAGATCTATGGGGATGTCATGTGACTCCCATCTGGATCTGCATTGATACCCTCTGATATTTTTATTTATTTGTCCACTGTGTAATTATTGCAGGGCTATGTTTCCCTCGTTTGTGAGGAACATCACAACTCTCCAGTTTGTGTCGTGAGTCCCTTCAACCAACTGCTTAACTACTGCAGTTATGTTTCCCAGATTTGTGGCAGATGTCACGTTGTCCGTGTCTGGTTGATAGCCCCTTCCGGTTTACAGCCTTTTATCTACAGTCATTTAAACTAATTTTTTGTTATTACTTTAACAACTAGAACTTATTCTAACAGGGCTTACACTAATTTGGCCAGTCGGACCAACCTCTTTAAAAAAAATCATTGAATATGACAAAATAGAACAAAATGTCAATCAATTAGAACTCGCTTTATAAAAAGAAAAGGAAAACACTTTGAGCCTTTCTTCTGAAAAGTTCCTCCTTTGTTGTTAGGTGCTTGCTACAAGAAGAACCATTGCATTTTATTGTATGAAGCTTTCTGGTATGGTTTTTGTGAGATTACAGATGTTATTTTTATTTTACAAAGCGAGTTCTAATTGATTTATTTCTACCCCCCCTTCAAATTTGTCTTAGCTCACGTTTTCAAACATTAAACGTAAAGCATATTAGATGAAGTTTTTGTGAAATTTGACAAGTTGTAGGTATTTTTTTGTAACCTCAGTAGAACGTGCAATCACGGCCAAAATTTTAAATTTTGTAATTTTGACATTTTCCAACTGATATTGGCTAACATTTTATATCATTCAGATTATTGCAAATAGAAGCGTTTTACAGCAAATTTAGCGTTCTTTCAAATGGTGTAATTGGATTTGTTGTATTCTCAACATTTTAAAAGTGGTAAGCGTTTTTATGTGGTAAGTGAAAAAACCTAAATTGACGAATATCTTCAAAATAGAGAACTTAACAAAAATTTTCTCCTGGGCATTTTTTGCTCCAAACCAAGAGTAGAATCGATTCCCTGAGTTTCATCAGAAGGAAATGGGACACCCTGTATAACCTAACCCGTCACTAACTAACCTAACCTAACCAAAACCAACTGCCTTCAGCGAGAAAAGACTATGGTACCTAGCAATTCCTGAGCTACGTCTATCGAGATATCACACCCCTGGCTAGAATTCTGTAATAAAAAAAGAAACTGTTCCATGAAAAGCAATATCAATGACTGGACACAATAGTCAAAAAGAGGAAATCTGTATGACTCCAAAGAGAAAAAAATCAACACATGTGCAGATTACACGATCGATCTACCTCGAAAAGCCACAACATAGAAAATGTTGAGGATGCTATGGTAATTCTCTCGATTACAGGAAAATATTGAGCAAAAATTATGAATCTGTAACTTAAGGAAAATACCTAGCAAGTGAAATCCTGAACAATTCCATAACCCTGATTACAGTTCTTTTTAATCAAAAGAAAAAACATCTTCCTTGAAAACCATTGGATTTGGACAGATTTGACAAATTCTTTGGCTTGACTAAGAAATCTCTCTCAAGGAACTGGGACACCCCGTATATAAATCATGATCTCATATAATAAATTGGCACTGAAAACTACAATTAATGAGGAAGAAGTTATTTTGGATTGTAAAATAAAAGATTTTGTGATGTTTGAATCGGCGGTGATGGTATTATCGGCCGATAGTTGTTGGCATAAAGAAAACGACTTCTAATCTTGGCCGATGTTTCGATTTAATTTTAAATCTTTTTCAAGGCTGTCGCTTGATATCTAAGTGTCCTCTTTTTTTATTATGTTTTATTTATTGTTATCAAGCAACAGCCTTGAAAAAGACTTAAAATTAAATCGAAATGTCGGCCACAATTTGAAGTCGTTTTCTTTATGCCAACAACCATCGACCGATAATCCCACACTGATACAAACATCACAATTATAATTCAACGGTCATCAAAAGTCACAATAAAAGATTCTATTTATACAGGTATATTTTTAATAGAAAATTTATTGTTTTTCAATTAATTACAACTGTATTGTTAACACAAGGTGCTCAATAACTTCATATCGAAAACACCAAATTAAATAGGAATTTGCTGTAAGATATGTTTTACGTGTTAAAAATCTTTATCGCAACACAATAAAATAGAGAAGAAAAGAAAATTTAGTTAAAAAAAAAAAACTAGATTCTTTTCTTATAAATTAATTTGAGCATATCAAAAAATTATCATTTTTTATATATTTTTTTAACAAATAGTTTTTTTTATTTACAATAGTAAAACATTTATGTACAAAACAATTTTTTTTTTTCAATGTTTCATTTTTACAAATGCAATAAACCTAGAAATTGATTTGTACATTCTAACCACAGCTCAATTCAGTACTTTTGAAACTGTAATTACTGCAGATGGGACAAGACCTGTAAAAAGAAAACTCCCTTAAGTTTTTACTGTTTAAACATTGAGGGCGAAATTGTTATTACCGAGTACATCCAACGGTTTGTCGAAGTCTTCGTCTTGAAAAACCTTTTTGGGAAAAGTCGTCATGAGTAAAAATGGCCCTTCACCGTCGGTTCGGTTCATCTGGATGTATAACCTAACAGCGGACAGTTGTTCCTTGATGCCGAATGATTGAGTCAACGATTGACCGTTTGTTAATCTAATCTGAAAGAAAATCCAGTTAAAACTGTACAAATTAAAAAAAAAAAAATGAATCCAACCTGTAATTTAGTTTCAGTGTAGTCTTTTGAAACAACGGCAGGTTTTGGCGAACTGACGACCGTGGGTGAAACGAATGGCGTTCCCGCGGCTTCGGCAGCTTTCGCCCTCCTCGCAGCTTTATCGGCTTCAATCTGTTCCTTTATCCTCTGCCTTGCCATCCTATCTTCTTCTTTCTCCCTTTTTCTCAATTCTATCGCTTTCTTTAATTCATCATCTTCTAATCTATGATAAAATATCAGAAAATACAATTCAAAGCAATGATATAAGCGTTTATACTATGTATGGCTCTTCTGGTCAGCGTGTAGTTACCCACAACCAGCCAGGGGCTTGGAATATTAAGTACTCCATCAACCCCTCAGTAGGACTTAGCAAGACTGAGGTCAAAACCCGATATAAGTGATTCTCACAGTCTGCCAGTAGCTAATTGAAAATTACAAATAAATAATACAAATACTTCTATGCTATCAGTTCTTTACTGTACTCTTGTGTACATGTATGAACATTTGAATATCAAATTGAACTTATATAAATTTTTTTTAAAAATCAGTAAGCAGTGGACGTACTTTTTTTTAATGGCGACATATTCTTTTCCAGCCTTGATTCGATTTTTCTCCCTCTCTAAAGCTTCAGCTTTTTCTCTTTCTTCCCTTTCTTTCTTTTTCTCTTTGATTTTCATTTCGACAAGGCGGAGCTGCTCTTTCTTCTCTTCTTCAGTCAAAGGTTTCTTCTGTTCGGTCGATTCGCAAAATTTTGAATGTCCTGTTTTTGTAGCGTGAACTTCAACCTCCAACTGCGTTACAAATAATTTTCCACATCTGGAATTAAAATATTTAATTTTTTTTCGATTAAACAGCGTGTCTTCCTGACAATATTTAAACCAAATACTCTTCGCATTTTAGAGAATTCGCCGCCTCGTTAGCTTCGGTGGCTGAACTTGTGCTCGGAACGCTGCTTTGGCTGGGTTCACTCTGATCTCGAACTTTATCCATCGTATTTACTGTCTGAGCATTTTCTTTAGCCGGAGGTAGACTAGAATCTTCGAGTTCATCCCCATGTGCTAGCAACCTAAATGTACAATAATTTTTTGAAACAAATTCATACAGTGTAAATAATAAATAAGATGATTCAAAATTCTACGCTTTTTTTATTGATAAACAAATACCTCTAGTTAACATTGTATTATTTCTAAATAAATTAATAATCTTACATCTTATATTAAACTTGGACAAGGAAATTAGTTTGTACTATTTTGAGGCACTACTTGAAAAAAGGGCAACTAATGAGTCTAAAAAAAATTATGAATTCAAGAGGGCAGGTAGGGAATTTAAAAAGAATATTGCAAAGTACAGTTTTCCTGCACATGTACGAGATTGGATTAAATTCCGGAAGCTAGTGTCCCATACAATTTCACACAACAGCAGGCAGAACGAATGGTGGAAATTTGAAGAAGAAAAAAATCTGCAAAATCATTCGTTTTGTCAAATTTGTAATGAAAATTGGGTGTAATTAAAAAACCTATAGATTTTTATTGGTGGTGGGTTCAACCAGGATAATCGGATCTACCAAGAAGAGAATGATTTGAAGAAAAAAGTTATGATTTGTATATGGTGACATGAAGATCAAGCAATTACCTCAAAGGTATTGCTTTTCGTCTCAACTAAGACCTTACATAAAAATAATAATTAACTGAAATAAGTAATTTGGCCAATTAGACCATTAAACATAATTGAATTAATAATTAATTTTACCTGTTAATCCATTTATGTTTTAGTGGTCTAATTGACTAAATTAATTATTTCAATTAATTATTCTTTTTATGTAAGGTCTTGGTTGAGATGAAAAAGTTAGTGTCACGAGCAGGATTCGAACCAGTGTCCGAGAAGATCGATGTCACGATAGCTCAAGTGGTAGAGCAGCAGCGTATCTAGCCGAAGATCATGGGTTCGAATCCCGCTCGTGACACTGACTTTTTATCTCAACTAAAAACTTAAGTAAATGAACTATGAATAACTTTAAGCAAGATTTCTACAGTCTTCATTACTCGATAGAAGACTGTCGCATTTTCATTGGATAATACCTGCAATGTAGTTTTCTTTAAAAAGAAAATTAATTATAGATCCTAATCAAAACCAGTTTGTTTAAAAATCAATGTAAAGCATTAAAAAATTCATGTAAATTGTGAGGTATTTTGTTTAGTCCTACGGATGACGGGTTGCTATTTTGATCGTCCCCGATTATCTTGGTGGCACATATGTTGTTTTTATATATTATATTAATAATATATATATTTCTCTCTCTCTCTCTCTCTCAATTGTGTTTGTGCAATTTTATGCTCTCTGTTTTTTCATTATTTCTGGCTGAAAAAATAGAAAAGCAGCAGGACGGATTATCGAACTATCGTGTCCATTCCTGTTCTGAATATTCACGAATGCTCAAAACATTTTTCCAAGAAATATTATATGTTATGAATGGTGTTAGCCGGTGTTAGTGACAGTTAGCCAATGATTATTTGGAGATCGTGAGGTGCCGTCTGGTGTGATGTAGGTTTTAGCAAAACATTTCCTTGATCATGCCAACGTTTCGATCTTTATTGAGATCATCTTCAGGGCTCAAAGTATTTGTTTTCCATGTAGATGTGTCATTCTTGTGTGCCGTGTTGATTGTTGACTCTCAGCATGGCACATTTACACAAAAAACAAGTGACTTTTTTATCTCAACTAAAAACCTTAATTAATTTGTATGATATTAAATGGTCAAGCGGACCATGAAACTAGTGAATTTAATAAGTTTAAAATGAAGTATCCTTCACTAAAGCTCTCTGTGGCCATTTCATTTGTCTCTGAGAATCAAATTGATTACACAACATTTGAAAAATGGCAAAAAGGAGGGAAAATTCAAAATATGGAGTTGAGATGGGAAGTTAGTGTCCGAGCAGATCGAAGTCACGATAGCTCAACGAGAGAACAACCGCATATAGACCAAAAGCGCGGGGGCGAAAACCACACGCGACAAAAAAACTTTCACATCAAAACAAACACCAAAAAAAAAAAAAGAGAGAAAAAAAAATTAAAACTCAAAAATAAGAGGCGCCGCGGGCCCCAAAACGGTAGAAGAGGACACACCGCGCACAACACTACAAGAAAAAGCGCCCGGGCGAAAACACAGCCACCCCACACGAAAACGACACACACACAAAAAGGCGCTTTTTCAAAAAAACAACCACACCCAGAGGGGAGATAAAACCTCCGCTGGCGAAAACCCGCGAAAAAAAAAAAAAAAAACACAAGTACAAGCAGCAGCACCTTTAACTTTAACCACCAAAACCAAAGCCACCGAAAAAAAAAAAAAAAAAAAAAAAAAAAAAAAAACAGACAGAGACATGGAGGTGAAAAGCACAAAACGCACAGCCCCCTCACACACCAAAATTAAAAAAAAACAAGACACACAACAAAATGACAAGAAAAATATGAAGTTAATACATGTTTTATTATTTTTATTATGATTACACTTATTCAAATTAAACTAATTTAACCAAAAATATGTTTAAAAAAAATAAAATAATGAAAATACACTTTTCACCCTAGAAGAATAATTTTTACTTACCATTCCATGGCTGGCTCAACACCTTGGTTACCGGTAACTTCAAGGGCACGGTTTCTATTTAAAAAATAAATAAGACAATAAGAATAAGAATAATAAAAAATAATAATAAGACAGTAAAATACATAAAATTAAGGCATTCATATTCAATGTTTCAAAAGATTTTCATAAGAATTCATGATCACTGGATAATCAGTACAATCATACAAGTCTGCTTAGCAGTGCCCTAAGTCTTACTCTTTTACCCTATGCTGACCATAATGCATCAATGGGAAAAATTTGTAAAAAATGAAATTAAGTGATACAATTTATGTATGTTTGAATTTTAGCGATTATAATTTTTGATTTACAATATTTGGTCAATATCTTTTCTATTGTTATGTTGACTATGGGCCAGCGGTTTGGTGGACCAAGACCTAGCAGGTTAAGGTAATCAATTAAGTAACACTCAAAGATCAAAGGCTGTGTCACTGGAGCCATGAAGACCGCTTCATATTTTAATCCAAAGAGAAACCAGACCAGCGGCTCATAGGCTACATAAACGAATAGACCAAGTCAACAAACAACAGAAATCCAGGGAGGAGATACAGCCATGCCGATCAATAACACTACTTCCAAATACAACTCCACTAACAAGTACAAAATACTCATACCAAAAAAGGAAATGTGAGCCAAAGGAGTCAGAAGGCCAATTCCTACTGGTATACTGATGGCTCAAAAATTTGAGCTGGTATCCTCGAGGTGAATTCAAAGATTGAACTGATTTAAAACTTAAGTAGATACAAGACAGTTTTTCAGTTTAAAATCATAAGAATTGAACATTGTGCCAAATTAAAAGACTAGAACGCATTCTAGTAAGATAGTCATTTTTCTCGACGCAGCACTTAAATCCTTAGTCTCATGCAAGGGAAAGGCAAAAAGAGTATGTAATTGCATGAAATCCCTGGAAGAAGTGACAACAATGACCTCTGGCATAAGTCCCTGGGCATTCAGTACATAGAGGAATGAAAAAGTGGACATGGACAAAAAAAGAGCTAATATGAATTCTCTAGGCCATGAAACCACATACAAAAAAGGATACAGCAAAAAATGGATCCTTAATGAAACTAAAAATTAGTGGAGCAACACCCCAGTTTTGTGAGCCATAGAGGGACCAAGAATTACTGGAACGTAGGGTATAAGGATAAAAGAGGCGGCGACAAGGCCTTCTGCACTTCGACCTGAAAAGATTGTGCTCCTCTATTTTTTTTATAACACATTGGCCGATTTCAAGTTCTTCAATTCGATTCTTATTCAAATACTATACAAGTTCGCAGTACACTAACAACCCTAAATGGAAAATATGGTATAATTGGTTTACAAAGCAATGATGTAAAGTTATAACTGGTTGATGGATGAGAAAGTTATGGACTTGTAGTTTGGTCAATCCTTGCTATTTTGGTCTTGCCAGATGTGTTTAATCTTTTTTGCCTTTTTCTGTCTGTTTTATACTGTTGTGTAAGGAGGACAGAAGTCGAGAGTTATGAGTAAGGTGCCTTACTCAGCTCTCTTTTATTTTCCTTATTCATCAACTAGACAATTATTTAACGGGCTTTTTAGCTGAAAGCAAGGTGCTTTACTCAGCTCACTTTTATTCTCCTTGTCCATTAACTAGAAGAATATTTAAATAGAGGTGTGGTTAAGAAAAAATTTTAACTTTTCCAGGTGGTGTATTAAGATTTTTCTTCACAAGAAGTGCTCCTGCTTCCTCGGGTTCTAACATCGTACTGACCTCCTGTTGGGAAGAGAAGTTGATTCCACAAGTTGCTCGGTGCGAAACCGAGTCTTCACATGGCAGTAAACTAGTTGAGAGTCAGTAAACTTAGTTGAATCAACCAAACCGCCTTGCAGCTTTTCCTCTCTTAATTGCAAGAATCTGCACATACAAAGACGTTCGCAGAAACACAAAATGTGTTCTGCTGTCTCTTCCTGGCAGTATCAGCACAGTGTTTCTTCTATACTCCTATCTTGTGCATGTGCTTTCTTAAGTGACAGTGCCCTGTCAGGAGTCCAACCAGAATCCTGGTACTGTCGCGGTTGTTTAACAATAATTCCCTTGTTAAGTTTTGTGGATGGCCGTTCTATGAACCTCTTCACGTGCCTCATGCCTAGGGTATTGTTCCACAAAACTTTAGACTCCGTTTAAAAATGTTTTTTACTGGAAGATAACTGCAACAGAACCAGGGTTAGTGGGTACGATTTGTTCGATTTGAGTGGGTGGTCGTTACGCATTTTCACGAACAAAAAAAACCTTTGTCCGGACAAAGTACAAATTCAGGTGTCTTTCGGGTCTTTTTGGCTTTACACAGTCGACTGTCACCCTGACGTTTACGGATTGATAAACAAATGAAAGGTGCCCGGGGCTGACCACAATGAAAAGAATACCCAAAAAGGAAAATTCCTGAAATCCCCTGACATACTTAAGTATGCTGAATTTCCAAAGGTGGGCTATAGATCCAGGAAGTCATGTTCAACTGCAGCTGGGTCACTTATTGCTTTGTCATCTTCAGTGTGTACATTAATTTCCTTCTTCCTTTAAAAAGCATTTGAGTAACATCCAATGATCCAATGCCTGATCAATATGTACATTTAATGTAAAAATGATTAAGCTAAAATTTTCTAGCATTGTATAAATTGTGGTCTGATGTGATGTAAGTTTTACAAAAACATTTTCTTTATCGTGCCAACGTTTCGATCTTTATTGAGGTCATCTTCAGGACCTCGGATTTATAAACATTGTTGAAATTTTACATATACATGTAGGATGTGAAAAAAAGTGAATTTATACAATGTAAAATATATATTTTTTAGATATAGATAGATTTATACAATGCTAGAAAAAAAATTTTGGATTAAAAAAATATGAATTTATACAATGCTTTTTAATTTTTATTTATTTAGAAATCGTGAGATGCGGTCTGGTATGATGTAGGTTTCAGAAAAACATTTTCTTTATCGTGCCGTTTTTTTTTTTTTTTTTAATTGGCCTTATGATCTTTGCATATTAGCCATGACGAATCTCTTATATATGTTGTTCAAATTGGGGGTTATCGGGAAAAAAGGGCCAGAGGCGACGGTGGGAATCGAACCCACGACCGCGGCGTGAGAGTATCGTGCCAACGTTTCGATCTTTATTGAGATCATCCTCAGGGCCTGGGATTTACAAACATTGTTTACATATAAATTGTAAATCCCAGGCCCTGAAGATGATCTCAATAAAGATCGAAACGTTGGCACGATAAAGAAAATGTTTTTCTGAAACCTACATCACACTAGACCGCATCTCACGATTTCTAAATAAATATCAATTAATGGTCACTAATCACCACACACACGTTATAATTGTAGTGTCACCTAAGAAGGTGCACGCACCGGAAAGTACTATGTAAATCTAGATTCTTGCATCTAGGGATCTACATCTATTTAATCTAGAGGAAAAGCCGCAAACAATTTCCTACACTAAGGAGTTGCTGGCAACACTATTTAGATTGATTAACAACCTGAAATTAGCCAGTGATTTATAAAAAATAGAAGAACACAATAGATCTCAAGTTGAGGTGTGTAAGGCCTTGTGGCAGCCTCATTAATCCCTATTCTTATTCTTAGGTCTGATTCGCCTTTTTTTTAAATATTTAAAGCACCTATCTTTCTCTTATAAATTAACAACTGTGTTCTGCACTGGTTTAGCTGTTGAAAAATTGTACATGCTGAAACTGCCAAAATGTTAAAAATAAATTTAAAAATAATCATTCCTTTTGTTACCTGAGCTGGAGGTTGAGTTTGTTAGTGAGTGATGTATTTTAGTGTGTATGTTATTTTCTTATTTTGGCATTTTGATAGTTTCTCAGTTCAGCTGCTTTATTAATTTCGAAGCTTTTATGGAACAATACTAGAGTATAAAAAGGTACAGATTTTGATGGGATTCCGTGTGTAAGGATTTTCAATGGCATAAATTGAAAACAGAAGAGACTTAACTTAGTCGACGATTCCATGTAATTTATTGCAATAAACAATTATTAATAAATAGATACTTGCACTTTGTCTATAGAGAAGCCCATGTCGAGCAAAACGTTGGCATATGGAGAAGACATCTCGTCTGTATAACTGCAGATTTGCTGAAAGCCGGTGGACTAACCGCGACACAAAACAGACGAACCGACAGAACAAAGCAACAACGGCAACAAGAACCTCCCGCATGAACTTGCAAAAGAGGGATTTGAAAATTATCTCGAACTTTTATATACTCAAAACGTCGAACTATTAATAAAACGTAACGGCCGAGTAAAAGGGATTTTTTTTCCCCGAAAATAAAATTTGAAAAGGAATTCCCGAGTTTTATATTGAAATTCCTATCTCGGAATTATCTCCCGCCCGATTTGGATACGTTATCAGAAGGGGCACGTTTCTTATCCCTTTTCTTCTGAAATCTGAAACAATTGTTTTGAAAGTAGAAGATGTGGGGCGACAAAGCATTCGCCCTAGTCAAAGAACTGGAAAGAAGCACAGACACAATGCCTCCTTTCGACGTGAGCAAATGTTTTTATTTATTTATTTTAAAAGTACAAAAAGGACTTAAACTATCCCTTTACATGTATGTACACTTAGAAACAAATTTAATTTTATAAACATAATAATAATAGCTATACAAAATAATATATTCTTTAAGATTGGTGAAGGTATGGTATGCACCGTGTATTGCTACGGTTCAGACACATAGCGTGTGATTTATGCGCTTGGGGTATTTGAGATGATGGTGGCTACCTGGTCTGCACCGACTCCCTCAGTGCGGTTTTGTGATCTTAACGGACGACAAAATGGTGGTTGTCTGCGTATCCGGCTGAGGCTTAACATCCTTCCACAAAAGAGGACACATGTTAAAATTCGTCTTTAATGAGGCCAAAACCTGGCAGAACAGTGCCACAGGTATGAGGCGAAGGGATTCATAAATGGACCAAAACTTACAAAAGAATTACTGTAACCGCAACCAAACCAGGATTCTGTGTGGACTCCTGACAGGACACTGCCACTTAAGAAAGTGCACTGCCACCAATTTTACATGCTAAAATTATCAAAATGCCAAAATAAGAAAATTACATACACACTAAAATGCATTACTCATTAACAAACTCAACCTCCAGCTCAGGTAACAGAAGGAATGATTATTTTTAAATTTATTTTTAGCATTTTGACAGTTTTAGCATGTACAATTGGTAGTACGGAACCTTTCAACAGCTAAACCAGTGCAGAACACTTAGTTATTAATTTATAAGAGAAAGATAGGTGCTTTAAATATTAAAAAAAAAAAAAAAGGCAAATCAGACCTAAGAATAAGAATAGGGATTTATGAGGCTGCCACAAGACCTTACACACCTCAACTTGAGATCTATTGCGTTCTTATATGTTTTATAACTCACTGGCTAATTTCAGGTTGTTAATAATCTTCATAGTCTTGCCAGCAACTCCTTTGTGTAGGAAATTGTTTGCGGCTTTTCCTCTAGATTAAATAGATATAGATCCTTAGATGCAAGAATCTACATTTACATAGTACTATCCAGTGGTCAAGGCTATCGCGAATGTGAAGAGAGAAAAAGTTCACTGTTTTTTTGTTCGTAAGTTGTTTGCCCTGCCATCATCAACTCCTAATTATATGTTGTATATTGAGACTGGCATAGAATTGTTGTTTGTTTATTCTTTAAGGTTAGATTTTAAATTCACTATTTTTCGTGGTCCGCTTGACCACTTAATAACATTCATTAATTAAGGTTTTAAGTTGAGATAAAAAAGTCAGTGTCACGAGCGGGATTCGAACTCAAGACCTTTGGCTTGATACGCCGCCACTCTACCACTTGAAGTCACGATAGCTCAAGTGGTAGAATAGCGGTGTATCAAGCCAAAAGTCGTGAGTTCGAATCCCGCTCGTGACACTGACTTTTTTATCTCCACTTAAAACCTTAATTAATTGGATGTTAGATTTTAAGTTTATTTGGAAATCGCTTCAAGCTTCTGATTCTCGCCTGGCAAAAATCACATCACTTGAAGTTATTAAGGGTAACATATCCTGGTTCAAATCTTGCGGAGAGGTATAATGTGGCTCGGTTCTCTTTGGATAATTCTGCAGCGTGGTCAGAAATGTTTTCTAATCTTCTTATTATCTCGTCATCGGGAGAGTTGTATTTCTTGTGCCGTGGATTCAAATAGATTCCAACTCTACAAGGAGTTGAATCATTCCCTAACTCCTCGCAATGTTTTTCTGCTCCAGCAAATGATGTTCCGTTCTCTTTTTTCCGCTGGTGGTTTAAAATTCGAGGGGAGTTGTTCCTGAATTTCAGGCCTTGGGTTGGGGGTACTCCTGCCACTGCAATGTGCTCTCTGTGCAACACAGGTGATAGTGATGCATTTCATTTTCTCACTAGATGCTCAGTCCTTAACGAATTGAGGTATCTGTATGTGGGTAAGGGTTTTCTGACGAGGGAAGAGCTTATAGCCCTTCTCAACAGCTCGGAAAGCCTGGTTTTACAGATATGAATATATTGGAATGTAGGAAATTAATATTCTGTTTGTTTTATTTTGTTTCCTTTTTTGCTCTCGCAGGTAGTACATATAATTTCTACTTTGTGGGCTTCTAAATGCGAATTCTGTTTGCCGGTGGGGGACCCTTTGCGAATTGGAATCCTTGCTTTTGTTCTTTGAAGTGTCATTTTTATTATTTTCAAAGTTTATCGCATGTTAATCTTGTTATTTGAAAATCCTGTAAATAATTGTAACCTCTGAAGTTGATATTGTAAATTCTCGTTTTCTTATAATTATGTATATTCTTGGAATAGTAATGCACTCCGTACTCTGGCTGATGGTCTTAATACCATGCCATAATAATATTGTTTTTTATTTTTAACTCTAAATTTCTTTCATTTTGTAAATAAAATATATCTATCTATCTACAATCCAGTGCGTGCGTCTTCTTAGGTGACACTACCATGTCAGGAGTACAAGTAGAATCCTGGTTCTGTTGTGCTTATCTTCCAGTAAAAAGAGGATACGTTTTTAAATGGAGTCCAAAGTTTTTTTTCCAAAATAACCGCAACGGTACCAAGATTCTGGTTGGACTCCTGACAGAGCCCAGCCACTTAAGAAAGCACTTGCACCAGATAGGAGTACAGACAGATGAAACACTGTGCAGATTCTGCCAGGATGAGGAGACTGTGGAAAAAAACTGGCATAATTATTTTTCAGTTCTTATCAATCAAATTAAAAAACATCACAAAGGATGTCGGTCACATGTCCAAGCATCTACGCATCTCTCACTTTACAAGGAGGTACAAATTTCTCCTGCATTGTTCAACCTACATGAAGATAATTTTGACGGTCTTTGTCTCAATGAGTTGCGATGGCTTTTTAAGCTAAGAAGTGAGGTTTTGCGCTTAAACTCAGCTGTTTGTATATTACAAAAGATGGAACTGCTTGATAGTTGGCTGATAGCTTCAGAAATGTTGCTTTTTGGGCATTGAATGTAAAACTGAGTGTTGTTAGCTTAAAGATGAAATTAGAGAAATTAAGAACTAATGGAATATCATTCAGTAACATGGAAAAGAGTAAAGGTCCAAAAATAGAGCCTTGGGGGTACACCAGCTGAAATTAAGAGAGAGGAGGAGATAGAATTTGAAGCTTTTACTCTCCAAGTTCTGTCAGTAGAAGAAAAACCAAAAGTACCTAATTAAGCAAAATAAGATTTATGGATCTGAATTTATTGGAAAAATGAAATAGTACAATAATAGTAGACTTGTGGTCAGGTTTTTTAAAAATGTGGAACAAAACAGCCTGTTAAAAAAAATACCTGACCACAGATTACAAGAACAACTTGTAAAATAACAGAATAAATCTAAAATTTAATGTAAACTTATTATCATCAATATGGTGGATATCATCTGAGATCATAAGGGCTGTCTCACAACTATGAAATTTTTGGAAGCCTGATTGAAATGAGGATGAAATGGCATAGGAGTCAATAAAGAATATTGTGTAAATAAATTATTTTCAAATGCTTTATGAATACTAATAGGGCAATAGTCACTAGAAAGGGTGAGTTAAGCTTTCCTTGGCCCTTCCAGTCTGAAAGAAAACAGGATGAGGTGATAGAGAAGATAAAAATGTGGTTATCTATTTTAAAGTAACAGAAAGAGAAAAAATGATGAATTTAATGGATGAAAGATTAAGACCTGTGGTACCCAAGATTTAATTGAAAGGAGAGCTTCTAAGGACAATTTTTGATAATGTAGATCAGCAGGAAATGAAGTTTTAGTTTGGAGGGAAGAGCACATTGAAGTAAAAAACAAGTTTAATTTGTCAACATAGAGCATGAATGAAAACTGTCAACTTTGTTTTTAAGATCAAGTTTTCTAGCGTTGTTCCATAGTGATTTAGTTAGGCGGCAGGTTATGATCAAGCAATTCACAAAAAATAATTTTCTGTGATTTACAGGCTAGATTTCTTGTTTTATTCTTAGTATTTTACACCTTAACAATGTTCTTATTAAACTCTTTTAATTATTAACTCTTTTTATCTTAACAGGACGATGCTATTCGGTTGATCTTGGAGGAAATGAGGGTCCTAAATCAATTTATAGAAGATGCCATGTGAGTTTTTTCAGCTAAAACCAATTTTAAATGTAGTGGGCTCCAGGGAAGCGTCCTAGGTCCAATCCTATTTATTCTTTGTAAAATGTAAAATATCTGAACATTTTTTTGCATGTTATAAAAAATTGTTTAATTTAGTATGTACAATTAATACCTAGAACAAGTCCTGCCATCTTTTAAATTAATTTTGTGTGCTTGGGCTTCTGTTTTGTAGTTTGGTCGATCAGACATGTTATTACTAAAACAATCTGAAATGACTAAACAACACACCCTGCAGATCTGAAGAAGAAACCTTAAAATTTTATGTTAACAATGCCAACAAGTGGATACTACTGAAAAAAATCTCTCACTAAGGTCATCATCAGGGCAAAACAATCTTAAAGATGTTTACAAATTGACATAATTGAGTTTTTACTAGATTGTTTTGAAGACTGACTCGGTCCCAACATTGCCAAGTATTGTAAAACTCAATTTTTTCAATTCTACACTGACAAAGCAGTGTTTCCATTGGCTATAGGTCACCGGCATAAAGAAGAAACAGGATTGGTCCTAGGACGCTTCCCTGGGGCACACCAACCTTTATTTCCTAAGAGTTCAGAGTATTCGTTCTCCTGTTTTAATCAGAATCTGTCTGAGATGTAGCAGAGGAGTTGTACTGAATTGGAAAGATGTTTTTTTAAGTTTATGTATTAAGCCTTCATGTCAGACTTTATCAAAGTCTTGAAATAAGTAAAAACTCGACAGAACAGATGTGTTTCTCGTCTAAAGCCAAATTGATTGTTTCGAATGAGACTCTTTTTTTTGTTGAGAGGTTTAACCTTTTGAGTATAAGTTTCTTGAAGAGTTTTGAAATCACTGGAAGTAGTGATATTGATCTATAATAAAATTATAGTAAAATAGTAATAGTTTTTATTATTATCGTATATTTTCCAGATTCTAATAAGAAAATAACCTTTTTTTAAAAGATTTGTGTACAACTTTTTGCACATTCGTTGAGTTTCAATTAATAAACTAAATGATACGTGTTCTGGAAATGTTTTTATATTCATTATGAATTTTGATTTTATTTTTAACAATTCAGGAACTCGACGTTTCACCCTGAGACGAACAACTTTCTAGCCGGTGTTAAGGCTCGTCAGGCAGCCCTTGAACGCAATAAACGATGTTTACTCGCATACCAGTAAGTATATTTGATTTATTTTACCGTACTATTCTTAAAATATTCTGATTCGACAATTTTTATAAACAAGATGGAACCGACTTCAGAAATTAAGGGAGTTGCGATGGGAATTCGGTAACGTGCTTCCTCACGATGTTAAGGCCAACTTGAGCGAAGGAGAAGTAAATAAGCCAATTTGATATATTGGTGTTGATTATACAATATTTAATTTTTTTTTTTAGGTGGTTTGGTTTAATAATTACAGTAAATGCTTGGCGAGCTATATGAGAACGGTAGGAGGGGAAAACGGACTGAATTTATTCCAGGACTTCCAGCCTCCTAAAGACTTGTACATCGAGGTATTCATTATCATTCTATGTCCGTAAAACATCTAATATAAAAAAAAAAATAATTTAAGGTGAGATGTCTAGTGGATTATGGAAAACTCGAACTGGATTCGGGTGAGGTGATTATGCTTAACAAGGACAGCCAGCATTTGATGCCAAGGTCTCAGTGCGAACACTTAATCAGGCAGGGGATATTAAAACAAATCGATTAATGTAAGTAATTTATTTTACAACTCTTGGAAATATTTTTCAAGAGATTTCAGAATATCTTTTGAAGGCGCATGTGATGGATAAGCATTCAGGCTCTTTTGAATCACTGTATAGCTGGTTTGTAGATCTCCAGTCTAAAAACAATAAAAAGTCAATATTTACAGTATTGAGAATTTATAGGACTTACCTCTTTTGTTAAAAGTGCGTGGTTGTAAAACGGTTCGAAAAGATACGGCCCGAGCCCTTGTGCCGCTTGAAAGTATCCAAGGGCTTCGTTGGTCTGTCCTTTCTTATGAAGGAGAACGGCTAAATTGTTATAAGCTGGCCCGTGATTCGAGTCGATCGAGAGGCAAAGTCTCAGACATTGGACGGCCATCGCCAAGTCGCCAACGCCCTAAAACTCGACTGTTTAAATCCGGTTCAAAAATCGTAACATTTTTACTCACGATGGCCACTTGGGAAATGTTGTACCAAACATCTGCCGCAGCTTCTTCGACAGCGAGGCTAAGAGCACGTTCGAAACAGTTGACTACCATGTCGTAGTGTTGGGCGTAATAACAGCAAAGACCGATGTTATTGAAGAGTTCTGCGTTGTATAAACCCATTTGAAGCAACCTTCTAAAATTTTATTTAATAAATAGATTGAACTTATTTGAAAACAAATACAAACTAAATTTTAACCTGTAAAAACACAAAGCCACTTCCGGTTGATCACAGTAGAAGTAATTTACAGCAATACAAGCAATTGCTTCAATATTCGTTGAGTCTTCGGTCAAAATTTCCCTGTAGTATTTAACCGAGGCTGGTATATTGTTCAGGCCTTCGAGTATTCTGAAAAGTCAGGGAATTAAGCCCAAGCATTTACACTAAATCATAAGAAGCAATCACCTTGCAATCTCTGTTGATAATGTCACCTCACCAGGGAAGATCTGCAGAGCAGATGTGCATAATTCTAAAACATTCAGGGGTTGGTCTAATTTGGTATAAAGGCCTGAAAGGCGCAGGAAAGCGTCGACAGTCGGTACTTGTTTAAGCGCAGAACGGTATTGTTGTTCTGCATCTCTAGTGAGGCCAAGCATCGAGTAGCACTTGCCTAAAGCGACTTTCCACCACCAATCTTTGTACTGGGCGGCTTTGGTCGCTTCCACAGCCAAATCTAGTGCCTAGAAAACTGTCATTAGATTTTCAACAAATCGTATTTTTTTATATTTTTTTTTTAACTTACATTTCTCACATCATTTTCATGGTAGAAAATATATAAAAACAACGGTTTAGCAATTCCTTCTGTCGCTGCGTATTTTGCCAAGTTCAATCTTGTAACCTGAAAAGAAACATTTTAACCAGAAGCTGATGAAATTTTTGAATATTTTACCTGTATGAAAGGGCCGTTAGGTTGAGTCATCATAGATGCGGTCCCGAGCCTGATTGTTCTAGCTGCATGAGTTGTTACCGGCCTAGCTGACCTGGCAGTTCTGGGCGTTTTAAGCGCGTTTTCTAAAGAAGTCGCCCGGCCTGATTGCGTTGCTGGTCTTACTATCCCGCTAAGAGGTCGCCCTGTAGACCCCCGTGGCCTGATACATCACTGTTATTTATTAAACGATGAAATTTATACAATATATTATTTTTACCTCATGCCAGCTGCTGTTGTTGGTGCTGCTGTTTTCAATGAAGTCCCCGGCCTGGCTACTTGAGCAATAGTTTCCGAATCCAAAAGTTCATCTGCAATTCCTTCCTCATCAGCTTCTATGTCATCGACCATCACTTGGGCAGTCAACGATTGCATTTTTAAAGTCCACACTGCCTGTTGAAACATAATAGGTGAAACTGACTCATGTTCAGAGGGCCTAAAAACTACTTCGATGGTTATATATATCATCAATCAGAGATAATACTTATAAAATTGTTACCCTCTAAATGTTAATTTTAAAATTTTGTATGTTATACCATTAAAAAAAAAAAAGATTTTTTATAGACTGTATGTTAACTGTTCCCCCCAAAAAATAAATACATAAACGCTGTTCTGTTTTTTTATTATTTCATATTTGTGTGATAACATAATATCAGTGTGGTACAATGTGAATTTATTAAAGATAGATCCTGGCTATGTTTGACAGTTGAAAAAAAAAATAACAAAACAAAGCAGGCTAACTAAGAATATTAGGTAGGAAAGCAGCCTAAAATTTGATTCAGATTTTAGTTAACTTTCCAGAAACCAAAATACAAAACAAACTGCTACAATAGAATTTTCTTGGAATGATTGGCTTTTATTGTTACTATTTTATTATATTATTTCATTTATTTATTTTTTTTAAGTTTAGGTACAAGTATTTTTTGAATAGTAACATTGCAGGTGTACAGAAACTAACTTTGAAATGTATCTCATCAATTTTTGATTTTAATTCAGATCATGAACTCAATAGAGCTTAATTATTTATTTGTATAATATTTTCAATTATATGATTTTTTTGTGTGTATGAGATTTTTCTCTTCTATTTCCTTTCAAAATGAATATGTACTGGACCAAAAATTACATTAAAAAAAAAAAAGGCAAGGTGTCAGACATTCATCCTAGATATTTTAATAATTTTAGAGCAAATTATATGACATATTTGAGACATTTTATTATGTTACACCCATTTTTTTACGAGGGTTCGCAACAGCAGAGATTATATAAACTCTCAGGGTGCCGGTGTTTTTGGAAAAAAAAAAAAAACTAAGTATGTCGGGTTTGAATGCAGAGCCTCTGGATTCGAACTCGGGACCTTCATCTTACAGTGATGAGCGCTGTGTCAACACCTAAACTTTTGCGGCCACCGACACCCCCTTATAATCCTATATAGCTCTATTGTTAATATTATATCATTGCATTGGATTTTTGGGTGATCTGAACGGTTTTGAAGGCGTATGCTCTTCAGGAAATTGAAAATATTCCAATATTTTTAAAACCTTCTGTTGGAATTTTGATCATAAACTCATAAACATAGCAACTCTTGGGCTTTGGTCCTTTTTACGTATGGTTCTATTATTAATATTAGCAACCATGAATGGTATTTTTGTGATTTTAAGTCTTGAGGGCTGATTCCGTTCAGCAAATTGAAAACCGTTGAACCTAAAAGTTTCCGTTGAAATCGTGATCGTAAACTCATAATCATAAAACCCCTAGGCTATGGTCCATCAGACGTGAGTTAATGTTATCATTAATAATAAATTAACAAATTTACAAGGTTTTCTTAAAGTTCGGTATTGTATCTTGATAAAAAAATATTCATAATCATAGAAATTTTGTATATTTTCAATTATATGATTTTTTGTGTGTCTGAGATTTTTCTCTTCTATTTCCTTTCAAAATTAATATGTACTGGACCAAAAATATATACAAAAAAAAAACAAAGGCAAGTAGTCAGACATTCATCGTACATATTTGAGATGTTTTATTATGCTACACCCATTTTTTTTACGAGGGTTCACAACAGCAGAGATTATATAAACCCTCAGGGTGCCGTTGTTTTTGAAAAAAAAAAAAAACTGTAAGTATGTCGGGTTTGAATGCAGGGCCTCTGGATTTGAACTCGGGGCCTTCATCTTACAGTGATGAGCGCTGTGTCAACACCTAAACTTTTGCGGCCACCCGACGCCCCAAGAGTTTTTATTATTCTATTATTGTTTTTGCTGAAGAGATACCAAAAACTGGAGTGTCTGGGGAAAAGGGTGGTTGTTGCCAGTAACAAAAAAGTGGATGAGGCTGCTAACGTCAAGATGCTAAAATCGCAATGTAAAAACAAAAAAGATTAAAAGAAGGTGGCAGTATCGGTGGGCTGGGTCGGTTGAGAAGCCCTCACATAACAAAGCACTGTCGATGCATGGCCCTTGAAGGACCTGACTTGGAGAAGGATCATCCTCACCCTAGTGCAGCCCACCTCAACCTTCGGATATGCCATACAGGTTTGGTACTTAATTATTTTTATTACATTTTCTTGAACCATCACTCTCACTGTAAAAAAATTAAATTCTTGTCTAAATTTATTGCAATTTTTATACAACCTAGTATCAAGTAAAATGTTAATCAATGCATACTACGGCTGTGTTTATGCACATATTAGTTATGCAGTTAGTATGGGGTCACTGAGCTTCATCTAAATTGGTTTTCTTCATCCAAAAAAAGGCAGTGGGCTGTCGGTGGCCACAACGATTTAGGTTTGACACAGCGCTCATTACTTTAAGGTAAAGTCCTGCATTCGAACCCTACAAACTTTCAAATGGGCATTTTTTCAAAAACATATAACTTCGTAATTGAAATACCCTCGTTTAAAAAATAAAATAAAAAAGACAGTAAGAATCATTTGTGGGTTAGGCTGTGACGCCAATTGCAGAAATGCATTTAAAAGTCTAAAAATACATTACCTTGTTTATATGTGTTTAATTGTATTATATATATTTATTATAATTACAACAAAATACCTACAAAATATAAAAGATGAGCATAAATACAATACTAGTAAAGGACACTTAATAAAACTCCCTAGGAAAAAAATTGAATAATTCGTGTATCATTCTTAATTATTGGGCGGTTAGATTTTACAATACTTTGCCCAACATCATCTAACTTCACCATCTCAACAGCATGGATCTACCAAAGGGCGTTCCATTTAAACTAAATTAGTAGTTTACTCTGACTTTTCATATAACAGTTTAAAAGCGAAAACACAAGTTGATACAGTCTACACTGGCATGGCCAAAGCTTTTGATCTAGTTAATAACCAATGTTTTTTTAAGTACATCGACCCTCGATTAGATTCGTTACGTAATAGGTTTAAAGGATTAAGAAGGAATATCAAATACATCACCCTGAGTGAATATAAATAGGAAAGAATGTATTTTAGAGGGAGAAAGTGTGAACAGGTATAGATTTACGAACTGATTTCATTGAGTGATGAAATGACCTAGCAGTTGACAGCGCGACGACAGTGTCTGGTTGAATAAGATCCTGTATGTCCTCGGACTGCCAACACCTCGGGTGGGTGATTCTCGAGGCCTGATGGTAATTTTTTTCTAAATTGGAATTGCTTGGTGGAATTGAGAGGCCCAAATCTGTACATGCATTTGTATATACATGCACATTTGGGTTATATCAATACAAATTAGTGCATATTATACAGCATATTTGGAGATTATTTATTACTTAGAAATATGGGTTCTAAATTCATGACATATGTAGTATTCGTGATTTTTCTTCTTTTTTTTTTTCATTTAGAAAATTTATAAACTTTTTGTTTAAACTTTTCAAAATTATTTATGAAGTGTTCTCTATTTGTAAATAATAAATTAATTAACTAATTGCTCACCTGGTCGTAGGGATTCTTTTCAAGTAGGAGTGTGCATATGTCGGCACATTTTTCGAAATGCCTCTTCTTGTACAAGCTAAGAGCTTCGTAAAATGGGTCCATTTAAACATAAAAGTATGCTTTTTTGGCCGGAAACGGAAAAATCGATTTTGACTTCGTTATCCGTTGCTAACAACACGTTATGGCCGAGAGCGTTTGATTTTTTCAATATTAACCGGTTCTTTCTACGATCCACTTTTGACAAAATTGATTCCCAGCTTTGAATCCATGAAATTCTTAAATTTCAGTTTTAAAATTCTTCATTGAAATGGTGGGCGAGGCTGCACGCATAACTTTTTTCCCGGGTCGTTTCGTCCCGTTTCTATACACAAAACATCATTTTTATACCTATTTATTCATAGTTTAACTCTTCTGTCTTTTAAATAATTTATCGAGTTTTTAATTATTAAGGCAAAGAAATATTGCCAAAATTTATTTTCAAAAACGACGTACTAAAAAAGGTATAAAAAATTTAAACTCTCATGCTCCCTATATAATACCAATAACACTCAAATTTAAATAATTCAGGATGATTGATAGATTTTTGAATTATTTTTAAAAAATTCAATCTACTCCGGGAGTGTTACCATTTTTAAACTTTTTAATAATTAAAGTCAATAAATAATTATTTTATTAATTAAATTTAGGAGTTGACTGGAACGCGTGTCCAGGACGGTCGCGATAATTTGAGCTCTGCATTAATTTGCATTTATCTTTTTATATTCGATTTTTGCTTTCGATTATTTTGCTTTCTACATGTTCAATCATACCAGCTTCTCATTGGAACGTCGCGTTGGCGGGGGTATCGGCGGGTTCACTTTTGCAATTCATGTCGAGAGATCTTCAACCTGATGATGAGCTAAGGGCTCGAAATCCGGATCTTTGGAAAACAACTCACTATGAGTAGGAACTATCTTTTTTTAAAAAGGATTGAACACTGCACGCATCATTTCAATAGTACACTTGTGGTCAGGTTTTTGACAACCAACCAGTTTAAAAAAAAATACCTGATCATAATGTTGCTTGCTTTTAGGGCATCGAATGTAAAACTGAGTGTCATTATCTTAAAGATAAAATTAGAGAAATTAAGAACTCATTAGATAAGATTAATATCATTTAGTAACATGGAAAAGAGTAAAGGTCCAAGGATAGAGCCTTGGGGTACACCACCTGAAATTGAGAGACAGGAGGAGATAGAATGTGAAGAGTTCACTCTCTGAGTTCTGCCAGTCAGAAGGAGATAAGATTAGGAGCAGTAGAAGAAAAACCAAAAGTACCTAATTCAAAAAATTATGATTTATGGATTTGAACGTATTGGAAAAATGAAATAGTACAATAATAGTAGACTGGTGGTCAGGTTTTTTAAACCTGAAAAAAAACCTTAAAAAAAAAAAAAAAAAAAAAAAAAAACACCTGACCACAGATTACAAGAACAACTTTGTAAAACAATAGGAAAAGCTTATTAACATCAATGCCTAGGCAAATATCATCTGAGATTATGAGAAGGGTTGTCTAACAGCTGTGAAATTTTCAGAATCCCAATTGAAAAGGGGATATAAGGGCATGGGAGTCAATAAATAAGGATATTTGTTTAAATAAAATCTCAAATGATTTGGATAGTGATGGAAGAATACTAATAGAACAAAAGTCACTAGCAAGCGTGGGGATTTGTTAGGTTTTAAAAGGACGTTATTACTTGACCATTGATGTTGAGAATGAAATTCACAAAAGAGAAGAGAGATAGCTTCAAAAATTCTGCTTTTAAGGCATTGAATGTAAAGCTTAGTGTCATTGGCATAAAGATGAAATTGGAAGAATTAAGAACTTAAGGAAGATCATTTAGTAACATGAAAAAGAGTAAAGATCCAAGAATAGACCCTTGGGGTACACCAGCTGAAATTAGAGAGAAGAAGAGATAGAATTTGTAGCATTAACTCTCTGCGTTCTGCCAGGCAGATAGGAGGAAATGAGATTAGTAGCAGTAGAAGAAAGACCAAAAAGATGCTCCAGATTCCCAAGAAAATTATGAACCAAATGCACTGGAAAAATCAAGTAGTACAATAATAATGCACTTATTATCATCAATGCCTAGGCAAATGCCATCTGAGATTTTGAGAAGAACTGTCTAGCTATGAAATTTTTGGAAGCCAGATTGAAAATAGGATAGAAGGACGTGGGAGTCAATAAATGAGCACATTTGTTTAAATAAAGTCTTCTCAATTGATTTGGATAGTGATAGACAAATATTAATAGGGCAATAGTCACTAGCAAGGGTTGGTTTCTTGGGTAATGCAACTATTAGAGCTTCCTTCCAGGCTGAAGGAAAACAGGATGAGGTGATAGAGAAGATCAAAATGTGGTTTACCTATTTTATAGTAACAGAAATAGAAAATATTATGAGTTTAATAGACATAAAATTGGGACCTGTGGTATAGACGATTTAATCGAAAAGATAGCTTCTAAACCATTTTCATGGGTAATATTTGAATAATTAAAGAACAATTTGTGGTGATGTAGATGAGCAGGAAATGGAGATTAGTTTGGAGGGAAGAGGACATTGAAGCGAATGATTTTCTGTGATCTAGTGGTACAGGAAGAAAATAAAGGAATTATTAGGATTTAATAAGGAAAACATAAGTTTTTGCGAGTTTGAAATAATGCTGCATTTTTAACTTTAGGACAAAATTTAAAGGAAAGCTGTTGTATGAGAAGGGGATAGATTTTTTTTTTTTTTTTTTTTTTTTAATAGAATGAAGTTCACAATTGAGTAGCTTGCAGCTTCAGAAATGTTGCTTTCAGGGCATTTAATGTAAGATTATTTAGTAACATGGAAAAGAGTATAGAACCTTGGGGTACACCACCTGAAATTGAGAGACAGGAGGAGATAGAATGTGAAGAGTTCACTCTCCGAGTTCTGCCAGTAAGAAGGAGATAAGATTAGGAGCAGTATAAGAAAAACCAAAAGTACCTAATTCAGCAAATTATGATTTATGAAGCTGAATGAATTGGAAAAATTAAGTTGTACGGTAATAGTACACTTGTAGTCTGGTTTTTGACAAACATGGAACAAAACAACCAGTTAAAAAAAATTTAAAAAAAATACCTGACCACAGATTACAAGAACAACAACTTTGTAAATAATAGGATAAACATAAAATTTAATAGTAAGCTTATTATCATCAATGCTTAGGCGAATGTCATTTGAGATTATGAGAAGGGCTGTCTAACAGCTATGAAATTTATGAATCCAGATTAAAAAGCCCAAGGGGTTAAATGCCTGGGTAGACTCGTACCCCATCTCTAAAAGGACCGGGACTTGGTCGGCTCACGTGTCCTGCATAAAACGGTCTTGGACCTGTTCACCAACCCCAAGATTTTGGACCATTTAATCTCAGGGAGTGATTTGGTGATGTCCTCTCCTTCAAAACTTTCAAATCTAGACCTACTCAGCGAGCTAGTGCCTTGCCGTTTCTTCTTTTATTTTGCAAAAATGGCAAAAGGGATCTGGTAGAATACTCATTACGAAGAGGTGTCTTCTCAGTGCTCAATGGCCCGTCAGAATACCTATCAGCCTCCTAATTCCCTTCCTTGAGTTAGAGAAGCCATTTCGATTCTGCTGGTTTGATTTCCTTAACAAACTTTTTTGATTGCCTGTGTCCGTGGGAACTGTTTCATACCCCAGTTTTTAATACTCTCAGAAAAGAGGCTAGAATGGCATGGGAGTCAATAAATAAGGATATTTGTCTAAATAAAATCTTCTCAAATGATTTGGATAGTTTATTTCGGATTTGGAAGAATATTAATAAGGTGATAGTCACTTGTAAGTGTGGGTTTCTTGGGTAATGTACCTATTAATGAATATATTAAACAGGATGAGGTGATAGAGAAGTTTTGCATTTATTATTTGAAATGTAAATTTTATTTGGTCACAAATTGAATGTAGTGACGTTTCACCAGTCTGCGCACGTTGAGCATTGTTTTGGATTGTTTATAGGCAGGTTGGTGCTTGGTAGTTTTTCGTCTGCTTCCCAGTTCACACTCTTCTTCCCAGAAGGCGGCTTTAATTCTGCTTCAGTTTGCCTAAACAAAAAAGCACGATTCTGCTTGCACTTAGGTTTCCAACGAAGATGCCGACCATCGTCAAGCCTGAATGAAGTCCGAATCAAGTCCCCATCACGTGAACAATGGTGTTTTATTAATTAATTTTAAAGGGTAGACTTAAGTCGAATTATTCCTTATTATTCGATTCCCTTTATTTTTCTACATTGTCGAAAATGAGTTCGGAAGAACTCCCTGTGCTTTCAGATTTATGTTCGTCCAAAATGTTCCACTTTCGAACTTCTAAGGTTTGTATATGCGTTCATTTATTTTAATTTTATTTTGTTTTTTTAACAGTGAGACTGAAATGTATGAAAAATGATAATTTTGGGTTTTGTTAGAGAGACATTTAATCCTTGTTTGACCAATTAAATAGATGTTTATATATTAAAAACACCACTTTTTTTTCCTCTTTTTTCTTTCTTATTTCCGATAATTTCAATCTTATACCTCTGTCTAATTTCGTTTCAGTTTTTAATCGGTAGGAATTTGGAATCGGATCTTGACATTCCATCGCAGTACATTTCACGGAAGCAGTGCATCTTTGAAAAATCCGGCGGTTGGAAAATAACGAATCTAGTAGGACGAACCACACTTTTACCAATTTAATTGCAGATATTTTATTTTATTTTATTTTTTTTTAAGAGTGCGTTGAAAACGACTCTGGTCAACAATAAAAAAGTCGAAGAGCCTGTCGAGTTGAGAAACGGGGATGTCATATCGTTCGCCAATTATCCCAGCATCGAGTTGTCGTTCTTCTCCTCTCTACAAGAATACTTTCTTTTCTCAGGGATCAAAAGGAAAAGACTGTGAGTTCGATTTAGCCTCGGGTCGTAGTAATAAATTACACCGTATTGTTTGTTTTAGCAGAAATGAAACTTTAGAGGTAAACAAGCATGACCATGCTGATCAGTTAAAAGAGCTGAAAGATAACTATCAAGCGACTTTGATAAAAGTGTAAGTTTTCCTTTTAATCCACTTTTACAGTTCAAGAACTTAGGTTTTATTATAGATTATATAGGAGCCGGCCTCTTTACAACCTGCTCACTGCAATTAGCAATGGTATAATGCTTTTTTTAAATTATCTAGAGTTAAGCTTAAGGTAGGCCGTCCACTGGAGCCGTTTTCAGCCGAACTTGCACGGCTGAATAGGGCTGGTTGATCCAAAAGCGAAGAAACGAATGAGCACGCGTCCAATTAGAACCAATTCGTTCGGTCGGGTTGGTCCGTGTACGGCCGAAGCACATTCCGATCCAAATAAAGTTGGATTTTCCAGTCCTATTCGGCTGAAGGGTTACTTTGACTTCAACTGTCAATCACGTGACATCAAACGCTCACCATTGTTTAACGCCGTTCTTTGCTTTTTGCTTACCTTTTCGTTTCGTTTTCATTTCGATGGATTGTGAAAAATTGATAAGTGCGGTTGAGGAGCAGGCTCTTGGGACATGCGTGATCCACTCTATCATCGGAGAGATGTCCAGCGTAAACTGTGGTCAAGGATAGCTTTAGAAATGGAACTTCCAATATTTTTGTTTATTTCTTTCATTCCATTTGTATGTAAACTAACAATTTTCGAGCAGCAACAAATCTACATCCATTTGGGCTGTGTCGTGAACTGACGAAAATCGGCTACAGTGGGTGACGGCGTTCGACTATATTGCCGGTCGTCCATTTGGTCAAATAGTTCGGCTGTTGAACAGCCGTCGTAGTTCGGTTCCAATGGACGAGCAGCCTAAGGCTTTTCACCAGACCCCAAACCTTTTTCAAGGGCTCCCGTGTGTTTCCTTCAGGCCCTGGCATTTCCTATCCCAAGATTCTCGGTCTACGTTCCGCTGTTTCTTTTTCTTCTTGGTTATCCACACAGGCTTGTTTCTGCCACTCCGAATCTATACATAGGCCTCCAGAGTCTGCAAAGTCCAGTCAGCAGTCCAAATATTATTCAGGTCCTAGCACATCCTATATTTAGTAGTTCAACTGTAGTTTCTGCAATGGTCCTTTGATAAATTTTTTGACCCGTGTTTTTGGCATTTTGCCCTCAAAAGGTTTCAGGGCTAATAGGTGTCCTCATCGAACTTTCCTCGGCCAATTTGTCATCCTCTTCGTGTACAAACACTTAAGCTCCCCATCTTAAGCTCATCCAGGTAGCTTCTTTTCCCCAGTCCTCTATATTTATTAATCAGAAGACCTTGAGGACAATTTACTTTTATTAGTCCACAGATAATTTAATAATGTGAAGATGGGCAGAGCAGAGACAGAAACATGCCGATTCTGTCAGGAAGACCATGACATCAGCACATACCTTTATGAATGTAAAGCACTATGGCCGTTTACTGTACACTCGCTTTGGCAGGAATTTTCTCACACCAAAAGAGGTCTGTGAAAAGACACCAAGGAAAGTGCTTAGTCTTAAAGGTCTTTGCCCACTAGAACGTATCATACTAGGACCGCAACCGTACCGACACATGCAAACAAATATTCTTTACATCAGTTAGTATTAGAAAATGCCCAATACACGGTTCCGTCACCAGCCAACACTGTACCGTGCCATGCACAGTCAGTCAAAAATCGGCTGCCGAGAATATTTTGCAAGAGTCGGCCCGGCTGTGTATGACACATGACCTTGTGTTTTCAGCGCATCCAGCGTACTGCATTGCTGTCCCGTTCCACACAAGTTCTTTGCATTTGACAAAGAGATCTGTGTTTGTGTTCTGTTGAATTGTGTTTGTGTCTTAATAAAAATGGAGGATGAACAACCAATAGAATACGTTCGTAATTACAAGTTTTTATACAATTTACAACATCTAGTGTTTTTTGGTTTTCCCCTTCTTCNTTCCTCTATTGCAGCCTAAAGAGATTTATTGTGGCAGGTAGGTAACATAAATTATATCCAAGCCTTGGAAAGTGCGCTTTTTCTTATTAAATAAGTAAATTTTGGCCAACAAAAGACACCCAACTGCTTTTTTGGCCATGGTTTACTTAATGTGTATGGGTGGTGAATCAAAGCCAATGAAGCGGTTGGCCTTGATCAAGGTTCAGACTAATGGCGGTAATATCAAAAGGGTTATGTCGAACACGATTGCACATGGCCGAATCCCTTGGCCCCAACCTCTTGGTTTGAGATGAGGATGACCAACAATTGGCCTGATATATTGGTTGTCTTTCATTGGCTGAGATTTGTGTGTGCCCTTTATAGGAAAAAACACATTTTCTGAAGCATGACTATAATTTATAGGGGTTCTACAATGAATCTATTTAGGTCACAAGGAAAGGATTTTCATAATTCTTTATCAAACTATCAACCTCCCCTCCCAAAAAAAACAGGCTAAAATATGTTCTGCTGTCTGTTATTAGGGCTCGGTCAGACATTGGGTACAACAACAAAATTTACCAGGGCTGAGGGGTGACGAATAGTCTTATAAATTGGGCAAGGAAAGTTCACAGAGGATACCTGTACGCTTTTGTGGCCAAACTGCCAAAAACAAAGATCTATTAGAAAATTGATAAAAAATAGTTCCTGGGTTTAAACAGCCCAGGATATTCATCAAAGGAAACAGAAACTAATGGCAGAACTACTAAATCTAGGACTATTAACGACTAACCAGTTAGTCACTGTTGATTTGCATCTTAAAATTCTTTCCTCCTTGATTCCAACGCTGAGACTACCATGTATTTATTTTTTGTATTGTTAATTACTCGCTAATTCAGATATTTTAATTGTTGCCTTAACAATTAAACAACGCTGTACAAGAAATCACAAAATTTGCTTGTACAGCATACTCGACCGATCTCTTCTGTTGCTTCTCTTTTTTTTATATAGATCTTAGTCAGTTTTTCCTACTAGTGAAACATTATTCTTTCATTTCAGCGAAGAATTGAACGCCCAGGTCACGGAATCAAACGAAAGGGCCAACAAATGTGAACTTGACACTAAGAATTTAAGGAACAAAAATAAGGAATTGATGGACCGGATCGTTCAACTCGAAGTGGATAAAACCATGCTGCTGTCCCAATGCAAGGAAAATTACACATTGCTTCACGAATGTGTCGAGGAAATCAACAGAATGTCAGATGACCGAGATGTAATTTCTATCCCTTCTGAGTGTCGGTCTTCAGACAAATTTAACTCGATTTTGATATTTGCAGGAATTATCCAAAATGTTATCAGAAAGCCCACTAGTAAGGAGTAAAGGTAACTTATATTGATTTTTATTTAAAGCATGAACTTTATTGAATTTATTTTTAGTATTATACTAGGGCGAGTAAAAAAATGATCGTTTCAATAGTTAACCTGCGAGCATTCTTTTTACAGTTGGTCACTTATGAGATTTTCATTTTATTATTATTGTTAATAAATATTTAAATTGGATTTTATATAAATCTTACACTGTCAAACTTCTCTTATTAGAAGAATTCACATAAAGAAAAAATGTTAAGTAATTAAATTTCCTCCTGTAAACGATGAATATGGTTGAAGGGCTATTCCTTGGTGAGGATGTTCCTGGGGTCTGCATTAGCCACCTGACAGGATTATAGGGATGGATTATATTATGGATTGGGCTAGTGGCGTCAGGTGGGTAGAGAGTTTATTGCGGACAGAAAATTTGGTGGGGATTTTGAGATCGTTGTGGAGGCATAGTATGTACCGTAGAATTTTGAGGACTTTATATTGGAAGGAATTCATTGATATTGGTATGTTTAGCCCATATATTTGTCAACATGTTAGATTTGTATCCACGTAGTTTATACAGTAGTCTGAAGCATCAGTTCTTGTCTTTTTATTTCTATGTGCCAGTTCCACATTAAACTTGCATCAAGAACCCAAGTCGGTTTTAAGAATAGAAATGTTGTTGAGGAATGTTATGTGAGGAGTTTTACTTTTATTATATAATATTATAGTTTATTGCTAAAAAAAAAGCTTCCAGTGCACCTCGAAAAGCTAGAAGTTTCATCTTATCCAGGCCTTCTATTTCTTAATAATCCTCTAGTTAATGAAAAAGAAACACAAAAGTAACCACCTTACTTCACATCTGGAAAAGCTAGAATTTTGATCTTAAACACCTTTTCTATCTGAATAATATTCTGGTTAACAAATAAGGAGAATAAAAGTGGTCTAAGTAAGGCACCTTGCTTCACACCTGAAATATTATGTGAGTTTTGCTTTGGTTAATGTCATGCATTTGTTTTAGTTAATTTTTATCCTCCAAGGTTTGCTCTATTCAGCTATTCATTGAACACGTGCCAGAAGTACCTCCGAGACAAGCTTGTCAAATATTTTTAGAGGGGGCTGGACAGTAGGAAGATTCACTATAGCCTGGTTTGCCGAGTTTAGGGAAAAAGATTATTTTTGAGTATTTCCACAGAAAAGGGAATAGTGTGGAGAGTAATGTTTTAGGGAATGTACAAAAGATTCAAGATGTGATGAGGTCATAGGCAACTTGTGACTTGTCATCTGGGTAAGGATATATTTAACTGAAGGAGAGTGACTGTTTTGGTATAATAAAATAGGGAAAAACACAGGTACCAATCTTTAAAAAAAGATCGAAAATAGTACAAAACAAAATTTTAAACAGATAAAATCTCAAATAGTTATCACTCCTATTTATTTTCTACTTATAATTTTAACTCGTACTTGAAAATGACAAAACTGATCTCTCTTCTTTTATGTCCGGGTTATGTTCATTTTAAAAGGTCGAGCAGTCTTATATGGTGTTCATGCGGGGTCGTGGGTTTGGTTTAGCCATTGGAGGCCCTTTTCTGATGACTCCTCCAGGAAGAATTAACCTCCAGGCTCAGATGACTGATTTAATTGTATCCGACTCTCACGATCTTTGACGTGCATTGAGTACCTTGCATTTGATACCTCATAGTGGGTGACCCCAGGTCCTTCTTGACAGAGGTGTATTGGTGAAACAAAATATTCATCAAACCTGGGCTTTGCTTCCTCACACTAGAAAAGCAAGCTCAAATACTTTGATTAATTGAAAAGTACTAAAAAATCCCCATCAGTAAATCCATTTTTTAGGTAAAAATGATTGTTTACCTTGGTCATTTGTAGTCATTTTTGATCTGCCAGACCTCGCTGTTTTGGTGTCAGCATTTCAGCTTTTTTAACAGGGGTGGGTAATAAAGAAATCAGACAATTCTATTGAAAAACTCGCTTAATTTGTTGGTCAATTGTGAATGAATAATTTTTCCAAATTGTAAACACAATGTTTTTGATGACTGTAAATTTTCATCTATGATTATTTTGCAATATTGCCGTAATTTCATACCTCAATGTCATTTTCGTTTGTGGAATGTCAAACAGAGAATAAAATTAGGTCATGTTTACAAAAACGATTCGATAAAACAAAAGAATTAATTTTAAAAAGACACCAACAACAAAATTGGAAGGAAAAGCAGGAAATAAATTTGTTCCAAGTAATTGTCATTTTTTTACTCATATTAATATTAAATTTTAAAGGGGGGGGAATTATAATGAAACGAGCTCATCTCGTGTATTTTTGAAGAAACTGAGCTGGTTAGAAAAATTATCCTGTAGTTCGTTGAAGTCGTGAGAAGTGGTCAGGAAGAAGTTTAGAAAAACACCTTTTTCATTTTTGTTGATGATGTTTCAACCTTTATTCGGGTCATCTTCAGGGCCTGGGTGAATTACAAAACATACATTGATTAGAAAAAATGCAATATAGATGTAAATAATATAAATTTTGGGCCGAGTATTTCGTACTCAAATAAAGTGTGGTGTTATTCTAGTGGAGCCGTGTTTGTTTCATGTGAAATTGTTGTGAAACGTGAATTCTTGAATTCCTTTGGGTCAAATAAAATCGTCTACGATCAATGAAAATTTCCAAGATTTACCGAGTTCTCCACCCTGGCCATAATCTTATAAAAAGAGCACAATACAAATTTACGTTTCGCAACAATTTCATGCGAAACAAACAAGAATAACACGACACTTTTGTGAATATGAAATACTCGGTTCAAAATTTATATTATTTACGTTTGCATTGTAGTTTTTACAATCAACGTATGTTTTGTAATTCGCCCAGGCCCTGAAAATGATCTAAATAAAGGTTGAAACATCATCAACAAAAATTAAAAAGGTGTTTTTCTAAAATATTTCATTCCCCATCACTCCGCACAACTTTAAGAAAATATTGAACAACCGGTCGCTAAAAAATATACATTTATTATCTGTATTGTTGAAAAGTTACAGGATTGAGAAATCATTTATCAACAAATTATCAATGACAAATTTAATACTATTTTTATAATGATAAAATCAAGAATCTGCAATATACAGGAGCCATCCTTAACTAACAATATTCTCCAAAACCGGCCACCAGCTCTCGGAAATAAAATTCTCGTTTGTCTATGATATTACGTCTTATAATCCGATCAAATATTAAAATTTAATTAATTAATTATACTTTTCATCTAAGGTCTTGGTTAAGATGAAAAAATCTAGTGTCACGAGAAGTCACGATAGCTCAAGTGGTTAGAGGCGTATTGAGCTGAAGGTCATAGGTTCGAATCCCACTCGTGACACTAGCTTTTTCATCTCAAACAAGATAAAAGGTATAATTAATTAAACTAATTATTAGTCAATAATAGCTACTAAATTCATATATGAATTCTTTTTCTTAATAAAAACAGCGTAAGTATATTGAATTTTATCAAATCATTCCATCTAGTTTAGAAAAAAAAAGATTGATATAAACAAAAATTAAGTTCAAATTTGTTTGGATTAGGAATAGAAAATAAAAACAATGATGACTCCAATTGTATGGATGGATGTGGGAATTATATCAATTTTATAGAATATGAAGCTATAAAGACGGATCTAGATGATAAGAACTCTAAAATAAATGAGCTAGAAGGCATTATTTTAAAAATGGCTGAGGAAAAAGAAAAATACAATAGCCAAGTGCTTATGATGGTGGAACAAGAACTGTCTTGTTGTGTGTGTAGTGATATAATGTTTGAGGTAAAATAATAAAATATTGATTTTTTATCAGATTTTTGTTTAATACATAATTGTAATAATTTACAGGCGACTATACTCAATTGTAAACACACGCTTTGTAAAGCTTGTCTCAACGAGTGGAAAAAGAAAAAAAAGGAATGTCCTGAGTGTAGGACAAAAATAAAACACGAAACGCACAATTTACTTGTTGACAAATTCATAGAAAGGGTTGCGCCTTTGCTCGGGAATAGTTTTGTTAATAGACGGAAGGAAATCATTAGAGATAGAGTTGCGAACGTTAACGAGGTTATATCGATAGCTTCTCACCACAACGCAAGACGAGGCACCCCCCGGCCTAGACGTGGGGTACGGAGGCGAGGAGGTCCTTATTCTGCGTGAGTCGAGATTGCAATAATTCTCTATGTTTTTTTTTAACGAATCATCCTATTTCAATAATTTCAGGAATGTACAGACAAGTAGAGTAGAAACCAGCAGCCGTCGAAGGGTTGATATAATTGATTTAACTAGTCCAGTAGGGTAAGTTTTTCCAAATTGTTTTAAAAATTTATTTTCTGTTTTTCTACATTTTTTCAGAGGACGTAGAAGCGCATGGTCACGAGCAAATAATATCACAACGAACAGGGACTAAAGTCTGGAAAAACGAGAAGAGTAGCATAATTCCATTGTCAATATACAGTTTTTTTTTTTTTTTTGTTAATTACTTTATTATTACTACCTATTATTAAAGATATATTTCATACGTAAAACGGTAACATCGATGTAATTATTTTTGTAACTTATGATTTTAATTTGTTGCCTCAATTTGTATTTTTATGTCTAGAAAAAAATATGATATAATGAAATTTTCGCTCAATAAACATTGGTTAAAAAAAATTAAGTCATTAAACTTGAAACAATTGCATAAAGGCAGGTTTTAACCCACGTAATTGCCTGCACACACATAATTTCTATGCTGTATAATAACCTTAACCAAAAAGTATGATTATCTTCCACTCTCACAATGAATTTCTACACAAGATGTGATTAGGAATTTCATTAAGCAAATTAGAGAAAATAATAGGATGATTAAGAAAATGATGCTGTGATATATAAAATAAAGATTACATTTTTTAATCAGATTCTTTCGTAGTGTAGTGCATTTTTAAACATTTACTTTTTGTATGAATCTTATAAATCTTGTTATTATATTATTTCTTTTTTTTTTATTCTCCTTTTTTATTTCCATATTGGACAATTTAGATTGCACTAGTTTTTATTGGTTGAATGTAATCAAAACAAAAAATATTAAAGTGTTCTTGCGAAGTTTCAGCAAATTTTTGTTATTAAATTTATAACTTAATTAATCAAAATTATTAAAATAAAATAAATTGCTGCAATAGCTAAGACATTAACACGTCGAGTCATTGTTGGAAGGTCCTCAATTCAAACAAAAGTACTCCAAAATGGATTTGTCTATGGAAAAAACATATAAACATTACAAATCTTACAAAATTATAGCCTTTCATAACTGAGAGGAATCTCCCAACTTAAATTGTATATAATTTTCCAACATTGCTTTGTAACTACAAATTGTATAATATTTTAATGAGAATATCTACTATAGGTCTGATAGACTTGATATTCATATATCAATGCTACCTAGAAAAGCTGGAATGTTGATCTTAATTCGACCTCAGCTATCTAGTTAATGAATAAGAATAAAAATGGACCGAGAAAATACCTTGTTGAAAAAGTTTGCAATGCACCTCAAAAATCTAGAAGTATCATGTTAGCTAGGCCTTCTCTTTCTGAATAATCATCTATTAATAGAATAAACAAAAGTGGGCTGAATAAGCCACCTTCCTTCACACCTGAAAAAGCTAGAATTTGCATCTTAACCAATCTCTGTCCAAATATTCTTCTACTTAAAGAATAAGGAGAATAAAATTGAGCTGATTTTAGCACCTCGTTTCTCACCTGAAAAAACTACACCATCCAGAAAAGGTAGAATTTTGATCTTAAACACACCTTTTCAATCTAAATAATATTCTAGTTAACAAATGAGGAAAATAAAAGTGGACTGTGAAAGGCACTTTATTGCTGAACAATCTTTCAATGCACCTCGAAAAGCTAGAAATTTCATCTTAGCCAGCGCTGCTCTTTCTGAATAATCACCTAGTTAATAAAAAAGAAGTAGGCTGAATAAGCCACCTTCCTTCACTCCTGAAAAAGTAGACTTTTGATCTTCACCATATCCACAATCTTTACACATCTTTTACACATTATTCTTAGGGGGCACCAGTCCCAGAATAAAGTTAGTTTTCTTCTTCTTCTTCTTAAATTAGGCAACTGTAGAGGGCGCTAAGATTATTGATATCACTTCTCAAATTTAGTGAATTGACATCAGATCTAATGTGTCGCATTTCTTTTAATAATCTTCTGTCCAAAATTTTTATTTCTTAGTATGGAAAAACGTTTTAATAAATATACTTGTTTATATATCTTTTCTACCTAAATAATCTTCTACTTAACGAATAAGGAAAATAAAAATGGTCTAAGAAAGGAACCTTGCTTTACACCTCAAAAAGCTAGAATTTTGATCTCAAACACTCCTTCTCGATCTAAATAATATAGTTAATGAATAAGGAGAAAAAAAAGTGGGCCATGAAAGGCACCTTGCTTTATTGCTAAAAAAAGCTTCCAATGCACCTCAAAAAGCTAGAAGTTTCATCTTATCCAAGCCTTCTATTTCTGAATAATCATCTAGTTAATGAAAAAGAAACACAAAAGTAAGCCACCTTGCTTCACACCTGGAAAAGCTAGAATTTTGATCTTAAGCACATCTAAATAATCTACTTCAGGTGATGCTTGACTAACAGATCTTATGAGGATTTTTCTTACCAGTGCAACCTTTTTTAAGATTTTCCCAGACACAAGCACTGATGGCATGTATTTCTGCTTGAAAGAGCGAAGTGTACTTTCCTAATGAGTTTGATTGCTCATGTTTTAGGCTTGTACAGAAAACGCCTGATCCGGTTCCTTCATTTGTTTTGGAGCCATCTGTGTACCATATCATTGTATATGATGCTCTCCTGTGTTCTTCCACTCCTTTATAGTCCATTGAGACTTTACAGGAAGTTGTGAAGATTGTTTCCGGGATCATATAATCAGTCCCCATTTCTAATAATGGGTGTCTGATTTTGTTGATTATGGTTGTATAGCCCAAATTGTTTAGTTTCTTTAATTTAATTGTTTCTGGAGCATAAGTGAGCTTTTCTTAGCCTCTCCTTGTATGAATATTTCCAGTGGAGGTAGGTTTAGCAAAGTTTCTAATGCGTTTGTAGGGGTTGTTCTCATTGCCCCTGCGATACGTAGGTTTGCTAGTCTTTGTATGCTGCATAATGTTTGGGTAGATACTTTTTGTTGAGCTTTGTTCCACCAGATTAGTGATCCATGAGCTTACTTAGCCCACTTTTGTGTTTCTTTTTATTAACTAGATGATTATTCAGAAATAGAAGGCCTGGATAAGATGAAACTTCTAAGTTTTCGAGGTGCATTGGAAGCTTTTTTTTAGCAATAAAGCAAGGTGCTTTCATGGCCCACTTTTTTTTCCTTATTCATTAACTATAATATTATTTAGATCGAGAAGGAGTGTTTGAGATCAAAATTCTAGCTTTTCAAAGTGCATTGCAAGCTTGTAGGTGTAAAGCAAGGTGCCTTACTTAGACTACTTTTATTCTCCTTATTTGTTAACCAGAATATTATTCAGATAGAAAAGGTGTTTAAGATCAAAATTCTAGCTTTTCCAGGTGTGAAGTAAGGAGGCTTACTTAGCCCACTTTTGTGTTTCTTTTTCATTAACTAGATGATTATTCAGAAATAGAAGGCCTGGATAAGATGAAACTTCAAGCTTTTCGAAGAAGCTTTTATAGCAATACAGCAAGGTGCCTTTCATGGCCCACTTTTTTTCTCCTTATTCATTAACTATAATATTATTTAGATCGAGGAGTGTTTGAGATCAAAATTCTAGCTTTCCGAGGTGCAAACTCAGAGTGGTAGGACTACTAACTGGTCACTGGCATCTGAGAAAACATCTACACAATATGGGTATATTATAACGATGATTCCATTTGCAGATTAAGTAATGAGGAGGAAGAAACAACCACTCATATTATCTTTGAATGCGAAGCAACAGCTCAATGAATATTTAACGGAAAAAACTTAGGGAATCAAATTGCAGCAGCAACAGTCAATGACCTGGTACTTCTAAGAAGATTGAGTCTACTGCACTGAACTAAGGAACTAGGAAGGTACAATAAGCCAGAAAGCTGCAGTGCCTGGGGAGCGCAAACCCCGCTTCCTAGTATCCTTTTTTACCATACCATACCATCCCTTCTCGATCTAAATAATATTATAGTTAATGAATAAGGAGAAAAAAGTGGGCCATGAAAGGCACCTTGCTTTATTGCTAAAAAAAGCTTCCAATGCGCCTAGAAAAGCTAGAAGTTTCATCTTATCCAGGCATTCTATTTCTGAATAATCATCTAGTTAATGAAAAAAACACAAAAGTGGGCTAAGTAAGCCACCTCACTTCACACCTGGAAAAGCTAGAATTTTGATCCTAAACACCTTTTCTATCTGAATAATATTCTGGTTAACAAATAAGGAGAATAAAAGTGGACTAAGTAAGGCACCTTGCTTCACACCTGAAAAAGCTTGCAATGCACCTTGAAAAGCTAGAAGTTGTGATTTTTTTTCAAATTGTTTAAAACTTTGGATTTAAATTGATACTTCTTAATTATATTGCAATGATGCAATTGGCNAGGTGTAAAGCAAGGTGCCTTTCTTAGACCATTTTTATTTTCCTTATTCATTAAGTAGATTATTTAGGTAGACAAGGTGTGTGAAGATTGTGATATGGTGGTTGCTTCACACCTGGAAAAGCTTACAATGCACCTCGAAAAGCCAGAATTTTGATCTCAGACACACCTTAACCACATTTCTCTCTAATTAATCTTTTTCCCAATGAATAAGGAGAATAAACTCGAACTGAGTAAGGCACCTTGATTCTCACATAAAAAAGCTTAAATACACCCAGCAGAAGCTTTAATTTTATTCAATAGGATATTTGATAACAACCTGCTCAAAAGCTTCGTGTTAATTTTTTTTTTTTAATCAGTTTTAAATTTTGCTTAAATACTTGTTTTTATTATTTTTGTGTTTTAGTTAACAATTGGTAATAAATTACAAAAAATTGTTTTGAGTCATTTTGCAACTGAGAACTCCCGCGAGTTAGTGAGTTTGTAAAACGCCGTGAGTGTCGTCACTGAGCGAAACTTCGCCGGTTGTTACTCTAACGGATAACTCTAGAGTCACTCGACACTCAGCTCTACCGTCTCTTCGCCGATATCAATCACAGTCTCGTTATGTTAGAGGTTTGTGAATGAATTCTCGTTTTAGGCCGAACGTCTGAATTGATTTAGAGTGAAAATGTCATTCAATTATCCAGCAGTGGCGTACATTTTCGCCCTCATCTCGGACGCAGTTCTTATATTCTTCGCTATATTTCACGTAAGTAGTCCTATCTTCGGCTCAATTAATACAGAAAAATTTGACTTATTTATAAAATTTATAGGTGATCGCTTTCGACGAGCTGAAAACGGATTATAAAAATCCAATCGATCAGTGTAACAGCTTGAACCCTGTAAGAAAAACTGTTTTAATGTGGATTTTTTTTGTGTAAGTATTTAATGTGGATTAATTTATAGCTCGTCTTGCCTGAGTACTTGCTTCATATGATCTTCAATGTACTGTTCTTGCTCAGTGGTCAGTGGTTTTCTCTTTGCATGAACATACCTCTCATCGCCTATCATGTTATGAGGTGAGTCTCAGTTCCTTTCTTTTTGAAAAAAAAAAAATCATAAGTGACTTCATGATGCTTGTTAAGTATTCAGAAATCGTGAGATGCGGTCTGGTGTGTTGTAGGTTTCAGAAAAATATTTTCTTTAGCGTACCAACGTTTCGATCTTTATTGAGATCATCTTCAGGGCCTGGGATTTACAAACTTTGTTTAAATATAACAAATACATATAGGATGTGGAAAAGTGAATTTATACAATGCAAAATATATATTTTTTTTTATATTTTCAATCAAAGTATTTCTACTCACTCAAAGTCTTTTGTGTAATTGTGCCATTTTTACGTGTCGTGTTGAGAGTCCAGTGAGATTTTGCTGTTTTATGTTTATATACGTTGAATTTTGAAGGGGCGGGGAAGGAAGTCGGTATAGAAAAGACATTTTTGTATAACAATTCAAACACTTTTTTCCAAATTTAAAGATCCTACACCAATAACAAACAAATCTGACAATCTACAAAATCAACTGTTTAAACTGTCCGGAAACTTACATCGGTCTTACATCCCAACATCTGGACAAGAGAGTAAAGCAACATACCTCTGATTGCAAAACACCCAAGCAAAATCCTACAGCACTCGCTACCCACCATTTTGAACAATTTCGACTTCAACAATCCAAAATATTACACACAGAACAAAACATAAACGTAATTTTTTAGAAATGGTTTACATCAACGGAGATAAACACAGCATCAATTACAGAACAGATACATGTAAACTCAGTCGCAGCTACGTCAATATCATTAATTAAATTCAATACAGATAACATACCTATATCATCACATTACATTCCACACATCAAACATTTTTCACATAATCTAATTTTTCAACAATTTAGCTTTCCTTTCCCTATTTTTCACCTCAAAAAAGCCGATGCCATACAAAAATTTTCTATACCGACTTCCATCCCCACCCCTTCAAAATCCAACGTATATAAACACAAAATAGCAAAATCTCACTGGCACTCTCAACACCACATGCAAGAATGGCACAATTACACAGAAGACAAACACTTTGTGAGTAGAAATACTTTGATTGAATATAAAAAAATATATTTTGCATTGTATAAATTCACTTTTTTCCACATCCTACATGTATTTGTTAAATGTGAACAATGTTTGTAAATCCCAGGCCCTGAAAATGATCTCAATAAGGATCGAAATGTTGGCACGAAAAAGAAAATGTTTTTCTGAAACCTACATTATACCAGACCGCATCTCACGATTTCTATAAAAACACATAAACCTGAACACCCTCTAGGTCCAATAATTTCATTTGTAAATTAAAAGATGATCTCGATAAAGATCGAAATGTTGGCACGATAAAGAAAATAGAAATGGTGAATGATGGAGTGAGTGCGGTGTTCAGTCCTTTTTTTAAAAAAAAAAGACAGTTCCTACTCACAGTAAGTACTCTTTAAAAAAGGATCGATAAAGAAAATGTTTTCTAAAACCTACGTCACACCAGACCGCATCTCACTATATCCAAATAATCATAAACGGTCACTAAACACCACACATATTTTTTCAATACTTTATATAGGTATGAATTTCCAGGCCCTGATGATGGTCTAAATAAAGATCGAAACGTTGGCACGATAAAGAAAATGTTTTTCTGAAATCTACATCACACCAGACCGCATCTCACGATTTCTGAATAATTATCGATTAACGGTCACTAACCACCACACACGCTTGTTAAGTTTACATGGTTGAATGTTATGGAGAGGAATGACCAGTTTTTTCGATGAAGAGGATCAGTTTTATGTTCTTGAATGAAATTACAAACTTAAGCAAAGCTTTCGCGACATATAGTCGCATCATCAGGGCATTGCTGCTGAATTATACATTACGTATTTGAGAAAGACAACTATTTTTATCCATTTCACAGAAAATTTGGACCATAGGGTCATGAAATGGGAAGTTTGGGGCGTAGCAACAAAATGAACCTGATCAGATGTTTTTTTCTACAAGCCCAAAATATAAAAAAATACACCTTGGTCTTTGAAGCTGAAATACACGTCATTAACGCTTGTATCTAAAGCCTAGTACGCACTGGGATTCTTTGAATTGATTCATGTTGCGGGGCAGAGTCGGGGCTGTGTAGATTCATTGTTCTGATGAAGCCCCGACTCTGCTCCCCGACAAAGATTCAGTTCACATCCAACAGTGCTTGCGAAAATGACGGAGGAACTAGCTCTCTTGGGAATTTCCCTTGCTCTTTTTTGCATTGCACGTATCCATAATCGGAAGTGCATTAAAAAACTGTCCTTTTAAAGTGTGCATTTTTTTTCAATTAAGGCGACGGAAACACTGAATTTTTGGGCTAAACCGTTCAATGTTTGGCTTTTCAATTCCCGATTTCTGTATTCCATGAATGATACATCCCGATGGGAATGCATGTCTTCAATAAACTATAAGTCAACTCGGTACCCACAACATACTTTTATACAAGTCACTATCAAAATTTTCAAGAAAACACTCACTAGAACGTCAAGTAAACAAAAGAAGCAATTGCTCTTGTTCCGATTCACATCCGCACTGGCAAATATTGAGCACATTGAGTCAAAGAATCCCACATCGTATGGGATTCAAAAGAGTCCAAAAATACTAGCCCGCAACACACCAGATTCATCGCAACAATTTTTCGGGGCAGCCTGGACTCAGGCTAGACGCAGCTGAGGCTCTCTGGAGATTCAAAGAATCCCAGTGTGTACTTACCTTTAGAAAATCTCAAAAGAGGTTATACCAGCAAAAAAAAAATTAAGACTGGATAGCCAAGTCTATTAAAGCATTAGCATGTAAAAATTGGTCATTGAATGCATCCAAAAATTCCAAACTCTAGGGATGCAACAACTTACCTGCGTACGAGGAAACAAGGAATCTCGGGTAAAGAAAAATATACAGGCCTTGAACCTACTCTTGGGACGACAAAAATGAAATCCACCATCACAGAATGATTCCATAAAAGACAAAAGAAGGGGATAAACTCTAAAGGTGCTAGATACAGTTAACTTATAGGTTTGTTATGCTAAAACACTTTAGTAAAACCCCTGACAAACTTAGGCTGATAAGGTAAAGTATAAATAAAGAATAAACTTATTTTAAAAAAATTACTAGGTCGTTACAAAAGTTTTTGGGCATAAATTAAGTTTTTTATTTAAATTTCAGTGTAAAATGTAAACATGAAAATTATTCTTCAAAATATAAGCCATTGTTAACAACTACTTTAACTTATCTTTCTGCCAGAAGTTAAATTTGGTGGTGATAACATTCCTTGATTTTCGAGGCGAAGAACTCCTAGTTTACAAAGTTCTGACCGTAGTCGGTGTGAGTCAGGGAGGGTGGGGTAAGATGCTAACATCTTTCATTTCTGAAAATTTTTCTTCGGTTAAAAGCGAACGATGGGCAGGAGTCTTGCTGAAATATCACTTTATCCTGATTGAGCAAAGTAGAGTACTTCTCTTTTAAAACTCCGTATACTCTTTCTAGTTGTTTACAGTCAATAGCCCTGCCATCTGGAACCAACTCAAAGTGCAAAACACCTTCTTAATTCCACCGAACCTCTTCTCCTTGCAGTACCCACTGTTTTCGGTGGATAGGATTTTTTAAAAATATCCATTTTTCATCATTCATTACAATTCTCTTCCAAAATCTATCATCTTTTGGATTTTGAAGCAAACTTTTACAGATATCAACTCGTTGACCTTGGGCAGCTGATAAATCATGATCTAGGTCGAATATTTCAGATATTAAGCTTTTGGATTTTGGATGATAATCCTCGAGTGGTTGCATAAGGATCCTTATTGACTAGCTTGAGTAATTCAGTGTCATCCACCACTGAGAGTCATCTTGAAAGCTGTTATTCCCAGAATTAAACCGCCTGAACCAAAACGCTGCAGTGTTACGATGCATGATATTTTCACCTTACACCGCACTAATTTCTTCGGCTGCTGCACTTAGTCCTTTTCTCCAGTAGTGCCTCAGTAGACAACAAATGTCAATTTTTTGTTCCTACATTTTCGGTGAGATTTATAAAATCGACTGAAAGGTAGAGTCAGTTAGTATACATAATTAAATAAAAGAATAGGACCACCCACATTTTGCTGCATTCTGCACTTTCGTTGTTCTATAATCCAACCCAGACTGTTGTTTGCATATAACTACATTTTTAACACACAATTGTTAATTATAAACAGTGTGTGGTATTTATTGACTGTTAATTAATGATATTTAGGTATAAAAATTCATTTTTCTATGAGGAGTTGGCTTTGAAAAAGAAGCCAACTTCTTATAAAGAAAATGTTTTTCTAAATCCACATCAAACCAGACCGCAACTCATAATCTCTAAATAATTATAAACAATTGTGATAAGGACTGTGAGATCTTGTACTTAAAATCACACAGACTCACAGAAGATGTTGAATTGTCGAAACACGTCTGACCAACCTAGCGAGGATATGACCAAGATACAGATCAAATTACACGGTCTTTAATAGTTCATAAAATCGAATGATTAACTAAAAATAAATTAACTTTATTAAGTCATCTAGGGTTAAACAGTCTAATAGAAAAAAGATCAACATCATTCAGTGAATTTGCGCTATTTAAATTCAATTGTTCTCCATTACAAATTGAAAATTCAAAAAAGTTTTGATTTAAAACAATTTAAAATTCAATTAAAATAGGTCATTGAATTAATCATTGAACGTCAGAAGTATACAAGTACTGAGGAATTTCCGTTCAAAAACAAAAAAGTGGTAGCTGTTTTGGACGATCATGAGTTATGAATTATTTATTAGATTGTAAATAGCAGTCAAAGTCAATTAACATTTTATTTATTTATCATTACTTTTTTTAACAAGACAATTACGATGATAAATATAAGGTGTATAAAATATAAATGGGACGCATTTTTTTTAAAATTCTAACTTTATTTAATTAAGCTTACAAAATATTAGGTTTCATGGTCCACTTGACCAAATAAACTTTTTTCAATTTTACTTACAAAATATATTATTTCTCTAAATATTTTCTTGTCCTAGAAGGGTTGTTTTTTTTTCCATAGCCATTTGAGTACAAATGTTTCCACTGGTTCGTTGTCATTGAAACGCTGGCCCACAAGAGTTTCTTTGAGGGGTCAAAAAATGAAAGTTGCAAGGTGACAAACCTGGAATAAACTTCCAACATTTCCCATCCTACTGCATCCAGTTTTTGCCTCTTGGCATTATTTATACGAGGCCTGGTGTTGTCATATAGAAGTCTTGACACTTCTGGCCCATTGTTTCTTCCTTTTCCTTCAAAATGACAACTTCACAGCATTCAATAATTGACAACAATATTGCGCATTGATCATGGAGACATGTTGGCCTCAGTTATATTCGTACTCGGGCATTGAACATGACTCTTTTTTGAACCTTTTCACACTCCCCAGAAATTTTTTGTGCCAAGCCAACCGGGCATCCTTTCCCTTCTTTTAATCGTTTCTCCTTGGTCAAAAACTGGATAACAATCCGTCGCTGTATGAAGAAAATGACTTCTTTCTCACTCATGGTTTCTAATGACACTAAAGGGAACTTCTTGCCATTCTTCCCTGTCCCTGTAGGTACAATCTATTGGCTTTTCTCTCAATTACTGTTCCATATAATAAACTTTATGTTTAATCGATTATTTTTTTGTACGAATGTCAACACTAAACCTCTTCCAAACAAAAATGTTTGATTACTCAGCAGCATTTTGTTACTTGGTAAGAAGTCAGTATTTAATAAGATGCCAACACGTGATTTTCGTGTAATTTTGTTTTACAATTTTAATCTCGGTCGGGATGGTGCCTAGAGGCAGACATTAATGGAGTCTGGGACAATGGCAGTGTGAGGAGAGCACCGCTCAAAGGTGGTTTAAAAATTTTTGAGACTTTATCTTTGAAGACAAGCTCATGGGAGGATTTCTTCCCTAGTTTATGTTCTGCAAGCTTTGATCAAAGAAAATCCCAGAAAATAGTTCGAAAATTTGCAGAGAATCTTTCAGTTAGCAGATCAACCACCACTGACCACTTTAAAGTAATTGAAAAGGTGAAAAAGCTCAAAAGTTGGGTTCTTCATGCATTAAACGACAGCCAAAAAATCATCGTTGTTAAGTTTGCGCAACTTTGTCGAAACAGAAACAACCTTTTCTGGTGGAACACATACCAACGTGTCACATAAATGAAAAAAAATTCTTTTTCTTGGGGTGGTTCAATGTTTCTGGCTTGAGTACCCCTTAAGAAAGCTAGGCGGTGACGACGGTCCTAAAATGCTCAGGTGGTTCAGGAAGTGGAGGAGGTAGTAGCATGGACAGCAGGGGCCCAGCCAGAGCGCTTGAGCGGAGAGAGGCTGGCCGGCGAGGACAGGCAAGAAACGGCAAGCCAAGGCCGGAAAGGGCGCGAGCTTACTAGAGGAAAAAAGATCGTTTCTGGACTTTCTGAGTGCTTCTTTGTCAGGTAGCAAGTATCCAGAGGACCTCGGGGGAGTCTAGAAAACCAGAGGAAACTGGAGAGATCGCCGAGGAGCGACAGATGAATCCAAGTGATGAGTGCAGCGGTGAAAATCAAGCCAGACTTTTATTTAGGTTTTTTTTTTTAAAAAAAAGAAGTTTTATTTATTTTAGAAAGAGATCTGTATTACTTTATTTTTATAATTTTTTAATGTGAGTTGGCCAACAGTTTTCCAATTTTCACATTACGAATAGAGTGTTAATTTCTGGTTTAGTTAATACACTTTTTTTTGTTTTTATTTCCCTTTGGAATCGATTCAGGTCTTATTAGTTTGTCGTTGCCAACCAGACTGGCAATCTCATAGGGTCACTATTCCCTGGGGGAGAAAAAATAGTGTGGCGCCCGAACTATATATTCATTTGTACAGTCCCACGAACTTCTCCACAGAGCTACCGACACCCAAAACCCAGGTTGGTTGTCACAAAACTGTGTGGTAGAATTGTTACTTGTGGTGAAAAGATGATATCTCTACGATAACAGCAGATTGAAGAAAAACAGTACATTTTCCAAAGCTACAAACTCATTTAAAAAATGTGATGTGATTTTGTGGGCTTCATTTGTGTTTATTTACAATAGCTCTTTTAATCTTGGCAAAACAATCAATGCCAAAGTGTATTGCTCTCAAATTGAAGCAATCCGCCAGAAATTGGCATTATTGAAGCCATCTTTGGTCAATCGGAAAAGGCCGATTTCTGTGTGACAACCTAAAAACGTTTGGATCTTTGAAGTTCTGCCTTATCGTTCTCCAATCCTCTCTCCTGCGTACTACCATTTTTTCTGACACCTGGACAACGTTTTACAACTTAAAAAATTTATTAATCAAAGGTTGTTAGAAAACAAGAAAAAAGAGAAATCGTGTTGGGTTTAGTAATAAAAAAGATTTAAAATCATTTAATTGTTTTTATGTTATGACCTGCATTATTTTCTGGATAACCCAGTACCTACATATCAACCTATTTCAAGTCTATGAACCCTCTGACATTTTTAAGAAAATCAGTTTCGTTTATATTTGGTATGACCCTCGTATGATAGGAACATAAAAGTCATCGTTGTTTTTATTTTATTTTTTTAGGTATAAGAATCGGCCGGTCATGTCTTGTGCAGGCCTTTACGACCCGACAGATATTATGAACACTGATGTTCTTACAAAATGCCAAAGAGAAGGATGGGTTAAACTAGCCTTTTATCTAATGTCGTTTTTCTACTATTTATACGGGTAAGTTTGTATACTGTAAGGATTATTATAAATTATTTCAAATATTGTATGCAAATTCTTTTTTATTTTCAATAGCTTTAATACAAAGTTAATATTTTTTAGACTTTGGTTGTGCAAGATATCTCGGTCGTTTTTAATTATTTATTAATTTTTTTTTAGTAAAATATAAAAATATAACAATAATTACAATTACAACAATAATTTAAATAGGTGGTATTATTCAGGTATTTTGTTAACTTAATTCTATTTTTTACATGCAGGATGATCCACTCCCTCATCACAACATGAAGAATTGATGAAAATTCAAATTATGTTCCAATTTAAGACTTACAATCATTACGAGACACAAAAATGAGAGGAATGTTTGCTATTCTAACAATACATTTAGAGTCTTATCAGTGAGGTGTGCCATTGTTCTTTTTTTTTTTTTTTTTTTTTTTTTTTTTTTTTTTTTTTTTTTTTTTTTNTACAGCATTTTATTTTGTAAAATTACTACTAAGATTGTATTTTTATATCGTCTAACATCAACATTAAATTTTATGCTAATCAATTCTATAAGTTATTTTTGTTTTTATGTCAACTTTACAGCAGGTATACTTTCACACTTTAAAATTTTTATGATTTGTAAAGCATTCATCAGCATGGCATGACGTGTTAAAAAAAAAATCCAAATAAAATTTATAGACCCTGTAGTATTATTTTCTTTTTTGTCTGGTAGTCAAATCAACTTGTATTTATGTATTAATTGTAGATAAATTAACTATTATTATTTTGTAAATAATTTTTTTTTACAATAAAACTTTATTACAAAAAACATTGTTAATTGAATACATAAATAAAATGATTTAAATACTCATCCTGTTACTTTTTCTCTTTTTCATAATGCAATTTTTCTCTTGACACATTTAAATAATTGGTAGAAAAAACTATGTCTGTTATAAGATGTTAATATCAATGTTAAATATCACAAACAAAATTTGTATATAAATGCATTTGGTAAGTAATGACTTATATAAATGCACAATTATCACAATGCATCAATTTAAAAAACTTGGCAGCTTAGAAATGTTTCCACAGATATCAAACGACGACGGTATATTAAAAAAAGGTAACGTTATTGGTTAAGGTAATACAGTATGTGATTTATGTTGCGATCTATTTTAAAAGCTTCGAGTAAAGCCATTCGTCGGTGAGCTCGTCCAGCTCACGTACCTCATAAGCGAGAGGAAGATTGGCCTCTCTTTGCACGGCTATTTTCGTCCCAGCGTACATTATCTGCAAGTCGGTCTGGCAGTCTAAAAACACAAAGGTAAAACAAATATAATTTACTTATCAATGTGCAAACAGTAGAAAAAGAGGTAAAATTCACATTACACTGAACATTTTAAGAACCTTATTAAGCTATTACTAGTTACCCCTTGGTGTGACATATATAAAGCACATCGGAAATGATACTCTTCCGTCCGGATGGGCTAGACGGCAAGTGTAAACGACGTATCTGGGCTGGTGCCCGGGTAACACTTCTTGCAAATCATCCAAGCTGGTGTCCTTTACATAAAAGCAAATAAACCAACATTTAAATGGGTAAATAATAATTTCACTTATAACTAAACTATTTCAATAATTGGTAAAAAATGAAATCTGGTTAAAAGGAGTCGGCCTATTTAGGATCTTGCGCCCGATGACAAATATTGATCTATTGTGCAATCTCCATTTCTAGAGCTCTACTAAAATCCTAAGGATTTTTACCAGATCCCAAAGCTTTGTTAAATTTTCTTAGGTTTCTTTTTCTTGACAATATCTATACAGGCTTGTTTCTGCTGCTAGGCTTGCGGCTAATAAACTCTGGTATTTTAAGAGCTCTCGCATTGAAATAGTCAGTGAGTATAAATATTTGGGCTTAATTCTCACAACTAAACTTTCATTCAATGTTCATGCGAAAGACTCATTTCGAATAATCTGCCCCGGGTTTAGTAAATACAAACTTTTGGCTGTTTGCCGCCCGATTGTGTCCTACGCTTCCCAGGCTTGGGGTTTCCAGCGCTATGAAACAATTGAATCCCTACAACGCTATTTTATCCGTAAAATTTATCTCATCCCTTCTTTCACCCTTAACTACATGATCTACCTTGACCCCTCAGTTGAACTTTTTTGTTTCAATTTACATACTTCCTATATCTGCAGCTTCCTAACCTTCCCAGGAATATTGTGCTGAAAATCATAAGGTCCAAAATATCATGGTTCTCTTGCTGGAATACCTTGGCTCGACAAGTTCATCTCAGTGACAATTTTTCCAATTTTTTTGGACAATTATAAAGAGTGGCCACTTTTACACTAAAAATTGATCAACCATATCCGCACCTCTCAGTGAAATGTTTCCTTCATGCTCAAAATCCCTCTAGGTTTTTTCTGTACAAGGATCTTAATGTCAATCAACCTTTCTTGAACATAGTGCAAAGTCCAATTAATTAAGGTTTTAAGTTGAGATAAAAAAGTCATTGTCACAAGCGGGATTCGAACCCACGACCTTTGGCTTGATACCCCACTACTCTACCACTTGAGCTATCGTGACCTCGATCCACTCGGACACCAACTTCCCATCTCAACCCACCTTTTGAATTTTCCCTCCTTTTTTCCATTTTTCAATGTCATGTAATCTATTTGATTCTCAGCGACAAGTGAAATGGCCACGGAGAGCTTTAGTGAACGTATACTTCATTTTAATTAATTAAATTTGCTATTTTTCGTGGTCCGCTTGACCAATTAATATCATCCAATTAATTAAGGTTTTAAGTTGAGATAAAAAAGTCGTGTCACGAGTGGGATTCGAACCCACGACCTTCGGCTTGATACGCCGCTACTCTACCACTTGAGCTATCGTGACCTCGATCCACTTGGACACTAACTTCCCATCTCAACCCCACAGTTTGAATTTTCCCTCCTTTCTGCCATTTTTCAAATGTCGTGTAATCGTGATGATATTAATTGGTCAAGCAGACCACGAAAAATAGTGAATAGTCTCAAGTTCTAAAATTCCATCCATTCCGCTAACTCGCTGGTTTTTGAAAGTTAGGTGCGAATTACTCTTTACCTTAATTATAATTCCACAAGAGTCAACAGTTCTGATTAGTGCTCTGCAACAGGCAGGCTCGAGAAGATTGTTTTCACTTTTTAGCAGAATGCCCAGTTTTAGCAGAATTCTGAGTACGGCATATAGGCAATGTTAACAAGAGAGCACCTATTTTTTTTTTTTTTTTTTTTTTCAAGGGTTTACCACAGCAGAGGTCATATCAACCCTCAGGAAGACGGTTCGGCCACCAACGCCCCCCTTATGTCTTTATTAAATAACCCCAAATGCTTAAAGTTAGTAAAGTTTGCAATGGAAGCCTGGAACTACAGAAAAGAACTATTTTTTATTTCAATTATTAAGTGTTTAATGTACAAAAAAGAGACACCCAGGTTATTTATATATGCATAAGTGTATGTAAATATTACTTAGATATGTTATTTTATTTTACTTATATAGTTTTTTTTTCTCTTTTGTTTATTGCTGGAGAAGAAATATTTAGTCTTATTTTGTTTATTAAAAATTTATAGTCCGACTCTGGTATATATGGTATTGATAACCACTGCCGTTATGTGCAATTTTTTTCTCTCTTTTGTTTTTCTAATAAAGTACTTTTTTCACTCATTCATTGTTTCTGCTGTTAGAAGTCTATATATACTTCAGAAGTCAGGAATTCCAGGTTTAGTAGTTGTGATATTAATTTCTGTGATAAAACTTGGATGAATTTTTTTACATGCCTCTATCCTGGGATACCTCGGAATCATACCCAGGGTAATCAAGACATATTTCTCCCTTAGAGTGGAGACCAAGTCGAATGCCTTTCGGTTGGTGGAGGTGAAATTTTTTAGTTTGAACAATATATTTTTTATCTTGACCCGCTCTATTCCAAAGACGACCAAAAACACACTTTTATAAAAAGTAATCTTTGTAGTTTAAACAAGTATTGATTTCGGGGTGCTGCCCATTCCCCTCTTCAGCTGTTATCAATGTAATTTTTTTTTTTTTTGTATTTCCCAGTTAAATTTCAATGTTATTAACGGTCATTTGCCCATTCCAAACTCTACTGTCGAATTTTAGCTGTACTTTTATGAAGAAATTCTGTCAGCATAATAATTGGACCTGTTTGGTCCGTAATAAACGTTTTGGTCTGTCAAACGTGTTTTGACTTGTCACCATCTTTGTTGGTGGGTTTTGTATAAAATTAATGTATCCGACAAGGCAAAAATAGGTCAACCAAAATGATCCGAAACGACTTTGTCCTATTTTTTCCGGCTTTCTTGCTTCCTTTTGCATTATTAATAATTTGCATTTTCGCGAATTTAAACAAGGCTTGGTCCCAATCAGTTTGGAAAAGCTGGACTGTATTGGAAAAAAAATGATTATACTCAATTTAATTGTTGAATATGCTTATTCCTAATTTTATCACACAGACATAACTAAACATTAATTAATTTGCTTAGTCATTCCTGATAATTGCCATCTGTCTATAGTCACTGTTTTGGTCTGTCATTTTGGCTTCCTGCCTTCTTTTGTTGCTTGTCCCTTCACTTTTTTGCTAGAACACGGTATTATTATTCTAACCGCCAGACTAAACAAAAATCAGACAAACCCTCCTTTGGGTAAACGACCAGATCAAAATGATCGGGGATAACTAAACAATATGAACTTGTTCTCATTACATTCATTGTAGCCTGAATGCCTACACATTTCACCAACATGTAAAAGGGCCAAAACTACTATAAATGAAATATAGATCAACTTTGTCAACTTTTGATATGCTGAGTATCATTTTCAAACATCATTTCACATTAATCATCAACCAACTATGAAAGCAAAAATGCAGTAATCATGAGAAAATTTTCCAAACATGACAAACCAAAACTGTCTCACATGCACAAACAGTATTTTCAACAATTAAGAAGATATGTCAAATCTACGATATTCTGAGTGTCATTTACCATAATAATTTTAAGTTGAACATCATCAGCCAGCCTAAAAAAGACAATCATCATGAGACCAATCTCCAAATATGACAAACCAAAATTGACACATATACACCAAACAGTATCTTCAACAGACATGAACTTTGATCCACTTTTGATATGCTGGGTATCATTTTCCAACATAATTTTAAGTTAATTATCATCAGCCTGCTTATAAAAACCCAATCATCATGAAAAAAATCTCCAAACATAACAAACCAAAACTGTCACTCCTGCACGAACAGAATTTCCAACAAATAAGATTTGTCAAAACTTTGATATACTGAGCATCATTTTCCATCATAATTTTAAGTTGATCATCATCACCCTGCCTTAAAAACCCAGTCATCATGAGAAAAATCACTGAACATAAGAAACCAAAACTGTCACACCTGCACAAACAGAATTTCCATCAAATACGAAGATTTGTCAAACCTTTGATATTCTGAGTGTCATGTACCATCATAATTTTAAGTTTAACATCAGACAGCCTTAAAAAGACAATCATCATGAGAAAAATCTCCAAATATGACAAACTAAAATTGACACTTATACACCAAACAGTATCTTCAACAGACATGAACTTTGATCCACTTTTGATATGCTGGGTATCATTTTCCAACATAATTTTAAGTTAATTATCATCAGCCTGCTTATAAAAACCCAATCATCATGAAAAAAATCTCCAAACATAACAAACCAAAACTGTCACTCCTGCACGAACAAAATTTCCAACAAATAAGATTTGTCAAAACTTTGATATACTGAGCATCATTTTCCATCGTAATTTTAAGTTAATCATCATCACCCTGCCTTAAAAACCCAGTTATCATGAGAAAAAACTCAGAACATGACAAACCAAAACTGTCACACCTGCACAAACCCTATTTTAAAAAAATATGAAGATTTGTCTAATCTTTGATATACTGAGTATCATTTTCCATCATAACTTTATATTAATTATCATCAGCGTGCATATAAAAACCCAATCATCATGAAAAAATCTCTCAACATAACAAACCAAAACTGTCACTCCTGCACGAACAGAATTTCCAAAGAATACGAAGATTTGTCAAACTGATATACTGAATATCATTTTCCATCGTAATTTTAAGTTAATCATCATCAGCCTGCCTTAACACCCAGTCATTATGAGAAAAATCACCGAACATGACAAACCAAAGCTGTCACAACTTCACAAACCCTATTTAAAAAATAAAAAATAAATATGAAGATTTGTCAAACCTTGATATAATGAGTATCATTTTCCATCGTAATTTTATGTTAATCATCATCACCCTGCCTTAAAAACCCAATCATCATGAGAAAAAACTCCAAACATGACAAACCAAAACTGTCACTCCTGGACGAACAGAATTTCCAACAAATATGAAGAATTGTCAAACCTTTTATATACTGAGTATCATTTTCCGTCATAATTTTAAGTTGATCATCATCACCCTGCCTTAAAAACCCAATCATCATGAAAAAAAAATCTGAACATATCAAACCAAAACTGTTTTTTCAGCATATATTATGAACTGGCACTATGTATCTTATATAAGCTTTGGGCCTTCTTCAGTGAGGAACTGATTTTTCTCAGTTCTAATAATAAAACTTTAGTACAGATTCCCTCAAACCCACCAACTCTAAAATTAACTTAAAACTGAGTAACGTTGTAAAAGTGACTTACTATTATTAATTATAGTCCTAATTAGGAGTCAAGGGTAAAACATCCTGAACGTTAGTTTGCTTTTTATGTTTATAAAACATCGCTCGTTAATTCCTAATCAAGCTAATTGGGTGTAAAAGAATAATCACATATGCTTAGTCAAGTAATGCTAGATAATATACAGTAGTTAGTCTTACAGTTTGTTCTTTATGTACCTTATGCATAAATTGATTTTTTTGTTTTTTGAGAATAGATAAAACTGCTTTTTTTTCATACGCAGCTTTAGTCATAATGAGTCATGCGTGAAAAATTCACTGTCTTAAATTATTCAAAATGTATACGATGGAAGCAAATTTAACTATAAGTTTAATATTTAAAAAAATTATTTGCAATAAAAATAAATTTATCAAATGGTCTCTCACCTCGACCAATTCATCGATGCAGATCTTCTGCGCCTGTTTGTCCACCTTAACTGAAAATCAAACGAATCAGACATTTTAAAATTTTTATTACTCAATTATTATTATATTACGGATAAGGGCGGCGCTTGTTTCTGCCTTTCTGAATCGGAATTTTTTCAATGCTTCTTTGACATCATCTTCAATTTCGCACACGTTGACGTTAGACTGAAATATAATTTTAATTAAAACGCTGGCTATTTTCTTTGTTGGTTTTTAACAGTTACCATTGTTTTCTTTGTATTTTCTTCGTTCGGCTTCACTGGAGTTTTAGCTGTTGTTCCCTTGACAACAAGAACTCTTGTTGTTGTTGTAACCTGGATGCCTGTGCTGTCAAAAGGGGCAAGAACTGTTAAGTACTAGCCAGGCTGGGTCTACGAAGGGAAATTATTGAACAATCTATTTTAAAAAAATACCAAAATATAATTTATCTCAGTGTTTTAATTTATATCCGAATAAACAATATAATATTAAAACATGTTTGAATTTTTACTGAACCATTGGTGATTAATGGCTATCAAAAAATCAACCTAAACCAATCAAAAATCTACATTACATTTTTCAAGTTTTTTTTTCGACTAAAAATATAAATTTGATCATATTTAATTGTATTATGTTCCTAATGGCTTCAAAACTACCTGTGGATTGAGTAAAGATTAAAGAGTATAAAGGTTATTAGTGACAGGCTCAGATGCAATAATCCTAAATTTGATAGATAATCCTCTATGATGTAAATATACAGACTTTTATTGTAAACAAATTAATGCTCAACTAGTATAAGAATGTACTAATAACATTCTTTCTGACTTGGGGTGTCGTGGAATAAAGGAATGGCAATAAAAAAGCTGATAAACTTGCTAAACAAGAAGCCTCTACAAGATATAGACAGGGACCAAAACCTGTATTACGCATTAGCAAATCCAACTAGCAAACTCCAAAATAGAAGCAAGGCATTCCAAACGAAAATCAAAAATTCTTCTTGTAAATGGACCGAGTCGCTATACTCGGTTTAGAGCCTAATGTGAGGTCACCTGGTTAAAGGAATATGTGAAAAAGGGTATCAACAGAAACCAAAAAAGATACTGTATATAGTTATCCAAATAAATTTGACACATTAGATAAAGAGACGAAACGTTTTATAAAAACTTAAAACCAAATTCTATAGTCACTAACGCTTGGCATCCAGAGGTGCAATAACCTATATGCTTCTACCAAACTACACTAACAAATTCTATGCCTGTTTGTCATAATTTTTAGTTTATTTGAAACTAAAATAACTTGTGAGATTTCCCCGTGTGAAATTGTTGAAATTTGATCGAAAATGTTTCTCGCCTATCCTTGCTGAGTTGGTCTGTCAGATGTTTCGGCGTTGAATAGTACACAATCGGTATCAGGACGACGATAAATTGGCCGATTAAAGCTCGGTGAGGATACCTATCGGCCCTTCTTTGGCATACCAAATTGCCAAAAACAGATCCACCAGACAATGGAGTCAGAATAAACCCTCGGTTAAATGCGATGGTATTCCATGATAGAAGCGAAAAAGTTTATCATCGCAGAAACTAACGGCAGAACTACTAAGGACATGTACAATTAGAATGATAGTAGTACTGCTGACTGGACACTACATATTCTTGAGGCATATGTATACTCGGACCAGATGAAACAAGCCTGTGCAGATATTGGAAGAACATTCTTCGCAGGAACAAGAAATTGTTGTGCGAAGGCCTATAGGAGAAGAAAAGCTCAAGACTGAAAGAAACGCATTCTTTACGAAGCTTTGGGATCTGATAAAAAGCTTTGAGCTTAACGAAGAGCTCAAAACTATAATGGAGATTGCACAATAGGTCATGGTTCGCAAGGTCGTTTAGAAAGCATCTTGGTCAGCCAATACAAATTCATTGTGTTATTACTTGGGAACCATCTGGTCAAACTTTTTACAAATGTGTGGTGGTTAGTGACCGTTAGTAATGATTATTTGGAGATCGTGAGATGCGGTCTGGTGTGAGGTAGGTTTTAGAAAAACTCTTTATTGAGCCTGAAGATGATCTGTATAAAGATCGAAACATTGGCAGAATAAAGATGTTTTTATAAAACCTACCTCACACCAGACGCATCTCACGATCTCCAAATAATCTTTTTACAAACATATTTTGTATTTTCCTGTTAGTAGTTTGAGGAGGTAAGTAAACCATTTTTTGGATGAACAGCACTGTTTTTTTTATTTACATTTTTAGATTCCATTTTTAACTCTTACAAAATTTGAGGTTATCAAGCATTCTTTACGGGCCCCAGAATGGGAAATCATATTTTAAATAGGAAAGTGTGTGTGGACATTACTAAGGTTTTTTTTATGGATCTATCCATATCTATGAAAAAACAAGTTTGTAATGTTACACTTTTGTACTTAAAATATATATTTCCCAATCTAAAGGGTAGTCATGGTTCTGATTAAAATTTACAAAATTTGAGGTTATCAAGCATTCTTTACAGGCCCCAGAATGGGAAATCATATTTTAAATAGAAAAGTGGGTGTGGACATTACTAAGGGTTTTTTTTATGGATATATCCATATCTATGAACAAACAAGTTTGTAATGTTACACTTTTGTATTTAAAATATATATTTCCCAATATAAAGGGTAGTCATGGTCCTGATTAAAATTTACAAAATTTGAGGTTATCAAGCATTCTTTACAGGCCCCAGAGTGAGAAATCATATTTTAAATAGAAAAGTGTGTGTGGACTTTACTAAGGTTTTCTTTATGGATCTATCCATATCTATGAAAAAACAAGTTTGTAAAGTTACACTTTTGTATTTAAAATATATATTTTCCAATCTTAAGGGCAGTCATGGTCCTGAATAAAATTTACCAAATTTGAAGGTTAGCAAGCATTCTTTACAGGCCCCTGATTAAGAAATACATATTTTATGTCCACACACTTTTGTATTTAAAATATGTATTTCCCATTTTGGGGCCTGTAAAGAATGTTGGTTAACTTCATATTTTGTAAATTTTAGTCTGGACCATGACTATCCTGAAGATGTTTCAATATGTGACAACAGAAGGTCACGTTTTTGGTATTTTCTTCATTCCATGACCATTTACCTAATAAAAAAATTAGGATTACTTTCAAAGATTTTGGTTCAAGTGCTGAGGGAAAGGGATAATGAGCCTGGTGATAAACATTGATCAAAATCTCATCTTTGGTCGGGTTCTGTGTAAAGTTGCGGAAAAAAATCAGGTCGTACACTATAAAACTTCCCTCGCAGGGATATGGTGAGGTAGGCTTATGAGTCGATTCTCGGAAAATAAATCATTCGGCAGATAAATGTTTATGATTTTAAAAAAGAGAGGTCAGATGGAGGTAGGCTTATCTGTTATGTAGCCGCCTCTTCCAGGAAACTCCAGGGAGCATACATTAACTTTAAAGCCAACATAAATTATACCGGTAAAGAGCGGTTGTAAGGGGGGGGGGAACAGTTCTGAAATCCAAACTATCCGTGGAAAGGTGGGCTTTTTGTCATTTGCCAAGGATTGTTTCTGAACCGGTGCGGTGTATATGGAGGGGGCCTAGATAAACTATCTAGCTAGCCGACTAGACTTCACCTGGCCCCTAACAAGTGGTGTCGGCGGAGATCAAAGAGACCCTCGGCTCGAAGGGATTCGACTCGGAGGAGGGGCTCTTCCAACATCAGTGAGATCCGAGACGGGGTAGCAAACGGGAGGATGAAGGCGGTTGCTCTTCTCTTCCTTCTTCTCTTCGCCCTCGCCGCTTCCGCTTCTGCCGTCGGCCCCAGGCACCCCAACCCTCGAGGGGCGACCTCCCTCCAATCGAAAATTCATCATTTGCAAGTAAGATCGAAACTCAATTATTAAAAAAAAAAAATTTGGATTCTGTAAAAACTGCAACCCAAATGACTGAACCTTTTTGTTTATAATTTGATCGACATGGAAGAAAACACTAAAATTATCAACTAAAACACTCATAAATTGAATAAAATACACTTATGCCAGAAAAAGCTTTGCTAATTTCATCAATTTGTTGAAAATTAATTCTAGATGCACTGTTTTGCATAAATTAAAAAAAAATACATGACAATATTTGCAATTAAGATATCCATAACAAGAACAGATAACAGTAACATCTATAAAAACAACCTGGGATACAAGATAAATATAATAATTATTCAGAAATCGTGAGATGCGGTCTGGTGTTGTAGGTTTCTGAAAAACATTTTCTTTATCGTGCCAATGTTTCGATCTTTATTGAGATCATCTTCAGGGCTCAAACTGTTTGTCTTCTGTGTAACTGTGCCATTCTTGCGTGTCATGTTGAGAGTGCCTGAAGATGGTCTCAATAAAGATCGAAACGTTGGCACGATAAAGAAAATGTTTTTCTGAAACCTACACCAGACCGCATCTCACGATTTCTGAATAATTATCGAATAACGGTCACTAATCACCACACATAAATATAATATATAAATAAATAAAGCACGCCCACCTCGAGTTCTAGTTTGCTTAATTTTCCCCATTAGCAGTAAATCTATTAATGCACGTTTGCATATCTTAATCTAACAGAATTAAAATAGATTATTAATTTTAAATAGGCTTATCTTTAGAATGAAAGAAGACCAGGTGAGGCCATCGAATAAATGCTTAGAATTAATTTAAAAAAATAAATTTAGGCCATGATGGAAATATTTATTACGAAAGCTAGACAAGAAGAAACGGATTTTGTTCTTAATTTGATGACCTCATCCTTAATGTGGGTTGATTTTAGATACGATTTGATTTAGATTTCACAAAATTAAACTTTTTTTCTTTGCTTCTCATTGAATACATTTATTGGCAATTAAATTTTTATTTGTATAGATTTCCTGGAATATTCTGAAGGTCTACTGTTGTCTAAGTAGAATAAGTTTTATCATGTCTTTTTTATCTATTTATTTGTATTTATCTTATTTCGTATATTTTTAATGTTTAGTATGTTTCTAGAGATACATTGAACATTTCTAATACTTACAAAGAAAAATTCTGACTATTGTTTGAAGGTCAAATCCTAACTTTAAGTTTTTTTTTCTCGAAATTATAGATTAAAATACTAAACATTATGCTATGATTTTCTTAAAAAAATATTATAAAGAAAGACTTCCCAAAAAGAGACTACACAAAGGAAAAATAAAAAAACGAAAAACAAGAAAAACCTTTCTGGTTTTATAATTGTTTAATTATTTATTGGAAATTAAAATCTTATTTATGTAGATGTACCGGAATATTCAATAGCTGTAGGATAAGTTTTATAATGTTTTGCCATTTATCCTATTTCATACATTTTTAATGTTTTGTCTCTAGAACTATATTCTCATTATATATTTCCGACACTTTAAAAAAAAAAATCCTCTTCCTTTACGTTTTTTTTTCTCGAAATTATAGATTAAAATACTAAACATTATGCTATGATTTAAAAAAAAATATTATAAAGAATGACTTCCTACCCTACTACAAAGAAGAGACTACACAAACGAAAAAGACCAACTTCTCGCATAAAAAAAACGAAAAACAAGAAAAACTTTTCTGGTTTTATAATTGTACACATTTATTGAAAATGAAACTCTTATTTATGTATACGTACTGGAATATTCAATGTAGGATAAGTTTTGTAATTTTTTGCCATCTATTTATAATTATCATATTTCATACATTTTTAATGTTTAGTCTCTAGAACGATATTCTCATTATATATTTCCAACACTTTCAAAGAAAAATTCTGATTATTGTTCAAATTTGTTCAAAAACCTTCTCAGTAGAAGTTTTCTTTTTTCTCGACATTATAAATTAGAATAATTACTAAATATTATGCTATGATTCTGTAAAACAAATTTTATAAAGAACAACTTCCTCAAATTTACCCCCTGATGTTTGAACCTGTGAAAATTTGAAGAATGATATTCAGAAATCGTGAGATGCGGTCTGGTGTGACGTAGGTTTCAGAAAAACGTTTTTTTTATCGTGCCACGTTTCGATCTTTATTGAGATCATCTTCAGGGCCTGGGATTTACAAACATTGTTTACATTTAACAAATACATTTAGGATGTGGAAAAAAGTGAATGTTTTTGTTAAATTTAAACAATGTTCGTAAATCCCAGGCCCTGAAGATGATCTCAATAAAGATCGAAACGTTGGCACGATAAAAAAAAAATTCTGAAACCTACATCACAACAGATCGCATCTCACGATTTCTGAATAATCATCGACAAACGGTCACTAATCACCACACATTTGAAAATTGAATTAAAAACAAAATTTCCAAAGGCTCTTGTTTATTTATAATTGTATACGCTTGGCTTTTTGCTATTTATTTTGTTCCCTGTTTTATTTGTTGACGAAAGAACAGATATAACTATAAAGCTAAAATCAGAAAGAAACCTAGAAAAATATATATCAAATATAATCCTCATTTTCTTTGTTTTTTCTACCCTTCTATGCTTCTTTTTATGGGTGGTTTCTGTCTTAATTATGTGCCTTCTCTGAAGACCATAGAACATAATCCTCCTGATACAAAAAGTCAATCCTTGAATTGTAAATAACTAAGCCGTAATGTCAAACTTTTCCAAGCTATTTGTAATTACTTTAAAGAAACGACTTAAACAGATTAATAAAAAAAGGTTATGTGGGTCTTGGTCTGCGATTAGGTACATATTGATCAGGCTTTGGGACATTGGATGTTACTCAAATGCTTTTCAAAGGAAAAAGGAAATTAATGTACACACTGAAGATGGAAGGCAATAAGTGACCCAGCACCAGTTGAACATGACTTCTTGGATCTATAAAGCCCACCTTTGGAAATTCAGAATTTTCCTTTTTGGAGTTTTGGGTATTCTTTTTATTGTGGTGAGTCCCGGGCACCTTTCATTCGTTTATCATTCATTCAGGGTGACAGTCGACTGCGTAAAACCAAAAAGACCCGAAAGACACCCGCATTTGAACTTAGTCCATCTAACTCCTTGATTTTTGAGGTTGCTGAAATGTGTTAAAATGAAGAAGGAGTGAAAAACTTCCTGATCAACACAATTTGGACGATTTTTCTTGCAGGATTTAAATTTCCTTGGGTTATTTTCTGAAAGACGATTTTACGCTTGGATGTGATTAACTATAATAATAAATCTATAAAATCCTGTCTTTAAAACGCACCGAACTCATGGAAATTAAGAGTACTGTATTTTTTTTGGTAATTTTATGGATGTCATCATTCCAAATATTTTTTAAAAATATTTTCTATTAAAATCTTAAATTAACAAGAGATTGATATATATTTTTTTATGTATAAAATTCCCCTCACAATATAAACCAATTTTTTTTAAATATTTTGAATATTGAGTATATGTATAAATGCTAAATCCAAATAAAATCGTCTTTCAGAAAAGGATGAAAGGAAATTTAAATCTAAGGATAATTATTGAATGAAGATTAAGCGCATTTAGGAAGAACGTTTTTTTTATAATTGATAATTTTTACTTCGTTCAGAGTTATGTTCCTTTCATAAATTTATGATAAAAATGCATTCCGAAAGCTCGGCAAGAAGGAACGGCCTTTCCTCTTTAATGACCTCACCTCTTTTTCCTTCATTCTGAATATGGGTTCTTCCTTCAAATTTTTAGAGGATTTTTCTTGCAGGATCTAAATTTCCATGCGACTTTTTCTGGAAAACGATTTTATGCGTGTTTGTGATTAAGTACGATAATAAATCTATAAAATCCTGTTTTTAATACTCACAGAATAAGTGCAAAAGTTTTGTATTTATTGTTTTTTGATAATTTCACGCATCATCTTTACAAATAATTGTTTAATTATTCTCCGCTAAAATATTAAATTAACGCGAGGTTGGTGGTCATAGTAAAAAAACTATGTACAAAAATAATACATAATATAATTTAAAAAAAAAAATTATAATAATTTTTTTACCTTGAATTGCCTTTATAAATGCTAAATCCAAATAAAATCGCCTTTCAGAAAAGGACCAAAGGAAATTTAGTCCTCTAAAGAAAATTAATTATTGAAAGACTATTAAACCACATTTAGGAAGAACAAAAGAGTAGTCCACATGTGTCTAATTAATTTTTTGTCTGTTTAAAGTTATGTTTTATGATGAATTTAGGACCTGATATAAAATACATAATACAAAAGCTCGGGAATAATAACCGGACTTCGTCCTTTATTTGATCATCTCCCGTTTTTCTTTCATTCTGTCTGTTGATCTTCTTTCATTAATTATTTTTAGAGGATTTTCTTGCAGGATCTAAATTTCCTTGGGTCCTTTTCTGAAATATTTTATTTCAATTTAGCATCGGATTTTCATACAGAAAAAATTCTTCTACCTATCAAGCTAATTTAAAGTTTTTAGAAAAAAATTCAATAGTTTTCTGGTGTATAAAAATGACCAGAGAAAATTTTGCGAAGAAATCCATTCTGTGCAGGTATTAAAAGGAGAAATATATGGATATGTCAGCTTAATCATAAATCCGAAATGTTCTCGATTCGATTTTTGAAACAGTCTTGAAAACTAAAAGAAAAAAAAATTCTCGTCTGTCAATTTATCATTTTTGTGGCGTTGAGAGAAGAAATGAATCGTTAGTGTAATAAAACTTTGAAATTTTTACAAAATGTGTGGTGTTTAGTGACCGTTTTTATTTGATGATTATTTGGAGGTCGTGAGATGCGGTCTGGTGTGACGTAGGTTCTAGAAAAACATTTTCTTTATCGTGCCAACGTTTCGATCTTTATAGAGATCATCTTCAGGACCTGGGATTGATAAACATTGTTTAAATTTTACAAATACATGTAGGATATG